AACTTTTAATTTCAAAACTTATGGGATATATTTATTAGAATATCAAAATTGGTATGCATGTTTTGCTCATATATAAATTTTTGAAAGAAAACATATTTTTTAGAGATTTCTTATTAACATGTTAAAATATAAAAATAAGAAGATGTCATGGGTATAATTACCAACAAGGCAACTCTCCACAAGAGACCAAATGACACAGACATTAATAACTATACGTTACGGCTTTCAACAATCAGCAAAACCAATACCGCATAGTCAGCTATAAAAGGCCCCGAAATGACAAATGTAAAACAATTCAAACGATAAAACTAACGGCCTAATTTATGTACAAAATAATGAACGAAAAAAAAATATGATACACAGAAACAAACGACAACCACTGAATAACAGCTCCTGACTTGGGACAGGCACATACATAATGTGGCGGGGTTAAACATTTTAGCGCGGGCGCCCAACCCTCCCCCTAACCTGAGACAGTGGTGTAACAGTACAACATAAGAACAAAACATAAAAATCAGTTGAAACAGGCAGTGGCGGATCCAGAAATTTTCATAAGTGGGGGCCCACTGACTGCCTAAGAGGGGGCCCGCTCCGGTCATGCTTAAGTGATTCTCTATATAATCAACCAAATTTTTCCCAGAAAAGGGGGCGCCCGGGCCCCCTGGGCCCCCCTCTAAATCCGCCTCTGAAAGACTTAACTCATCAGATGGATACAAAGAGAAATACATATAACAAAAACACAGAGTGGACGTGGCAGGGTACTTATTCATTCCCACAACAAAAAGACACTAAGTATAGATCTGAGAGTACTCGCAGTTACTGGCAGCTAGTTCAAAGCCAATAACAACTAATAAAAAAAATCATGCATCTAAGACTAAAATTTCAATCAGTACACATCCAACATCCAATGGATTTAGTGTAAAGACGTCATTAACAGTCAGAGAAAAATATGACCTTGTGTAATGCCAAGACACAGGAGGGTAGGAATGCCCTTTTTTTGTCAGACGTCAAACGGTTATTTATCGTTACCGTTATTTTTGTAAAACATTTAACGTGATTCGTCAAAATCAGTCGATTTTTTTATCGTCTAAAAGAATGTGTACATTTTATCGTCATGTACCAAAAATTACCGTTAACGTCATTTGGCAAGAATTTTTACCGTTATTCGTCATGAAGGTACCCCCATTACGACCCTTATACAGGTATCGACAGACTGTATAGCCATGAATGTGCATATGTATATACAAATAATATTTAGTTTGATTTTAATTTTCTGATAATAAAATCAATATAAATACCAATAAAAACAATATTCAAAGATCTAATTACAGTGTTGAATTGGTAACCTTTTAGAATAAGTTTATTTAAAGGATCGATAAGTTTACCGGGATCGTATCTAAATTTCCGGGCTCGGTAAACAACATCTCCGTGAAAATAAGGATGTGCTATCCCGTTTGAAGTAAGTTTTCTACAGGTACAACAAAACTTCAAAACCAAATCTTTATATCTATGGAAGAATTTAGTAAAGGTTTTAAGTAATTTGTGGTAACGAAATACCTGACTTGATAATTTACCAGTAATACATAGATTACGTTCATTAAAATCCAAAACGTCACAACAGACACGAGCATAGCGAACGATTTGTGATATATACAATGTAAACACCGTAAGATGGTGCCAAAAGAACATCACCGTCCAAAAAAGGATAATTAACAATAGGGAACGAAAAATCGTCCCTTTTGTCGTAAATTTTAGTGCAGAGTTTTCCGTGTAAAACTGTCAAATCTAAATCTAGGAAAGGACAGTTATTACCTATTATATTTGAACTATTTAAAGTAAGTTCCTTTGGGTAAATTTCGGCAGTATATTTAGAAAATTCTTGATTATCATGCCAAGAAATCCTCGATAAAAATTCCGGTCTACCTCCTACGGCACTCGTTAGTAGCTAAAGATTTGATTTCATTCAACAAATTAATTTATGACCTTCATGTACGTGTCGCTTAGAACACGGCCATATACCAAATGGTCAATATTAATCATCCTTGTAATTTGCTCTATGGGGTGTTTGCAGAATTTCAACGGAGGCAATTTCTTGGCATGTAACAAAAAAATAACACCAAGATAACGGTAAGTGATGTTAAATTTATCAATTAAATGCAATTTAGACGGGTCTTTACCGAGTTTGGTCATAAACTGTGACTCATAACAATACAAGAACAAGTCTGCTATTAAAGGGGCGCAATTGGTGCCCATAGGAATACACACAACCTGTTGATAAACTTTATTGCCGAAACGTACATAAATATTATCAAGGAGAAAATTAACAGATTCAATCATCTCATCACACCTCCAGTAAGTATATCTAGCATATTTACCTTTCTCATTAGAGAAGAAGGCTTTAAATGAGTTGCAGCAAATATATTTGCATTCAGATTTACCAAACGACCATTTGATGAAATAGGAAAACTTTTGTTTGATAAGATTGGGTGGTAGTGTAGTGTAAAGAGTTGAAAAATCAAAACTGTCAACAGCACGCAATTTATCTAAAACATCCAGAGAATTTTTTACACTCCAAAAATAGTTAATTCCACTATTTTCATATATTTTATTACAAAAGTTAATGATAAGTTCTTTGATAGAAGTTACCGAACTAGTTTAAAGCACTGAAAGGTTAGTTGGAGAACACTTACTAGAGGCCGAGATGAACGATATTTTACTGGTTTTTTTGTGTAGTTTAGGTAACTAATACATAGTACGGACCTTCAAATGTTCAGAAGAGGCCTTAAGCTGTGATGTGTTTATGATATGATTATTTACTATATGACTCTCTGTTGAACGCACGGACTGGAACGTAGAAGAATTTAAAATGTCATTCTTCAGAACGTCCGTGTAGTATTTACGGCATACCACCACCACATTGTTGGCTGCTTTGTCGGCCGGTACAATCACACACCGCTTTTAAAGTACTTGAAGTTTGTTTCTAATTCTAGAAATAGGCGTATTATGTACTCTTTTATTTATTTCTGAACTATTTCAAAATGTAATATTCGAATATCCACAACATTCATACATTTATTTAAATAAGAATCAAGAGATTTTTTATCAGATTTTTCCCGTTTACACCAATTTTTACAATACGATGAAAGAGCGTCTTTTTGTGACCTGACAACACTGTTTCCAATCTATTTTAGATGGAGGACGATATTTTGGTCCTTTTTTTCAAAAAGTTTTAAATCTCTCGGTCTTGAACGATATTAATTAGGTCCCTGTAAGATTCTGTAATAACATGGCCATAGGAATCATATCTAAAATTCGACGATCCACAGTCTCAAGTTAGAGGAGTGTTATTTTCTACACTGACGTCTGATGTTACTGACGTATAATTAAAAATTAAAACTTCTGCTTGTTTTTTTGTATGTATACGAAATAATTAATAGGTTCTGTGTTATCAAAATAGGGAGGTATAAAGTTTTGAATGGTAGAGTCATTGAATATACTCGATAAGTTGATGAAATCAATACCTCTGCCGTTATGATCTTCAGGTTTATCGATACGCGAGAACAGCCTATGGTGATCTATGGTGGCAAAAAGCTGCAATTATACGCGAATATTCATTGAGTGAGCTGAAGAACGAGATTGTGTCACACTCTTTGAAAATATCATGTAATTTACATACCTGCCAACTGTCACTAATTTCGGGGGATTTCCCCCATGAAAGCTACCAATTGGAAATTTTAAAAGAGCAATTTTGTCCACAATTTAAAACAAAACAATCAATTTTATCATGGCTATAGGATTGTAACAGTATGAAGAAGCAAAAAAAAACATTAAAATACATTTGAGGGCCCCTTGAAGGTTTGGTAGGACTATAAGAACCATCTTGCACACAAAACCCCCATGAGCATTTTCAAATGTTGGCATTAATGAATTTACTAATTGGTATTTGACCCAGTTTACATAATAATTGATGCATACCATTGTTTTTAAATAATAATAAGGAGATCATCAAGTGTATAATTTATACGATGTTTAATATGCTGATTTCGATCAGAGACACACATATATATATATATATGTGTATATATGTCTCTGTTTCGATTGATAATTATAGACCTATAAGTACGTTGTCTTTTATCAACAATATCAATGATATAAAATGTATGTTTCTACATTTCCTTCGATTCGTAATTAATAAACTGAAAAATCTGAATTAAGACCGTCACAAATCATAGCAACTAACTAAATATAAACTCGACTAAATCTGAGTATTTATAAGGATTTGTATAGGAAGTCGACTAAAGAAATCATTGTATATATCAGAAATCCGGCAACTGAAAAATAACTTGAAAACATATAAAGGAAAACCTTAGAAAACACGCTGGTATAAATGCGAGATGGCACAAAATTAAGAAGCTGAAACCGGCGAACAACTGTAAAAGAGAAGAATATCTATAACTATTAGAAATTTAAGGCACCGTCACAATTAATATGTTAATTTGGAATCGATGCTGAAGGTCAGTGTATAGAATCAAGAAATAAATTAGATAGGAATATAACTGAGATTTGTGTCTCTCAACCCAGGACAAACTAAAGATGAACTTATCTGTCATAAATACACCGTGATAACTGCATGAGCCATGAAAAGTCACTTGAAAAAAATTATGAAAAATAGTAAACTTTCATTTTGAAAACTTTACAGTAGAACAATGTTTTATTTACAAACCAAAATACTAACCAGTCAATATATTTTCATGCAAGACTTATTCTCAAGTTAAAATGATATATGAACATTTATTTGTGTCAGCCTGTGATGTTACTTAATTGTTTGTCCAAATTTTGATTTAAAAATAACTGATTGTTTGTTTAAAAAATTTTTTTAGAAATCATAAGACAAAAATAACAATAATAATCTTCAATGCAAACATTAAATATAGATAAGAATTTCACTGCGGATAAAACATATCATGATCGGAACAGAGTCACCTATTTTGTCTCCCCAACGTCTTTGTTTATAAATGGCTGACAAGAATTAGGGCATTGCACGCTTCTTTCCTTTCTCTTCTGTTTGGGCTGATATTGCATCCTTTTCCGTCTTTAAAACAAAAGAAATGTCTGGTAATATTCATTAAACTCAATGCAAAGCATTGAATTAATTTGCAGTAGAATTAATATTTTTTAATAGATCTTAAAAAAACTATAAACGTGTATGCACAAGTTTATGCAAATCGGCGGTCTGGTTTTAATACACCTTATCGCTAATCCCGCTTGACCCGAGAATCAGTCCCGCTCGAACTTTTGACGTCATACAACAATCACTTTTCTATTGTGGCGTCATATATTTTCTATTATGACGTCAAAATTTTACGGGAACTTGTGTGATGTCCAGTAATGGCGGACAAATAGCGATAAGGTGTATTATTCCCGTTTTTATCACATTTATATTATTTGAAATGTGTAATGTTATAATCTCATGTTGTGCCTTGTGGGCCCTTTAATTTGGAATAAAGTATATTCTTCTATATGTGAATTGTATATACCTGTCAGTCTGGATTTGTAAATTATCCAGGCTAAGTTGAATTCTTTGCATGGTATTTATGATCACGGAATAAAAGCTCATAATATGCGGCCTTCTTTTAGATTAGGGGGCCAAATCAAGTAAAGATATACTAAACTAACCCTTACACTAACCCCAACATTGGCCCTTATTATAAACTTAATACATGTAATAAGTTAATAAAAATCCAAACCAAGTGACCATAAATGGAACCCTTATAACCTTAAAGTACAGACACCCATATAATGTAAAGGATTTAATTGAGAAATTATTAAAAAAATATATCATGCTGGCTGGTTATTTTGTTCATCTGTCAAGTTTGTTCATTTAATGTCATGTATACAAAGTGAGCAGACTAACTGGTGGAACGAAATTTATAATTGGACATGAGATTGTACATGTAGTAGAATATTCTCTTGTACAGGTCCTTGGCGAAACAAAATCCAGCAAAGATAAATGGTACTGGCTTAATAGGAGAGTCTGAAAACAATACATTTTGCCACTTAGTGAAACTCCAGTAAATTTCATTCCATTTATGGTTATTTGCTGTATTTTCATGGGAAAATATGCTTTCTTTTATCAAAATTGAAAAGCAAAATGTTAACAAATGATTTTGTAACACTTCATGCATGTTGAAATAAGCCAAATTTACCAAAAAATTAATGCAAAAAGTTGTGTTTGTTGAAATTATCATACTATGTGTTATCCTTAAACCAGTTCAATGTGAGTGTGTCTTGAAGAAGTAACGTGGAAAGAACTTATTTAGAACTCAGTTGTGCTTGGTAAATGTACACATATTTAACGAAATGTCTCTGAACTGTGTTTTACCATTGTCAAGTCAACATCCAGTATTAGGAAAATGAATAATGTGCTTTTTAAAAACAAAAGTAAAGTTTCTGGCTGTGTGTTTTTGCATTAATAAAGAGTCTAAGGCAGATGAGAGAATACTGATGTTGCAAATTTTGAATGATTCACTGTCAATGTATCATTTAAGGTCAGAACATCAAATTTTAAGAAAAAGTCTTAAGTTTAATATTGTTTTTATGTCAATCATTGTCATGATGCCCAAATTATTACCTTGATTGCCTTTTGTTACTAAGCTAAAGGAATTAAAAACAGGATACGAAAATGTCTGGATGGCTCAAATATTTTTTGAAATTGGAAGCCGCTCATCAATCTTTGTTGAAAAACCCCCAAAAAATGTTCTTGCATTACATTAATATTGATATAGATACATGTAGGGTAAAAAGAACTAGCTCCAACTAGTGTTAAAGGAGAACCACCTCCAACCTACATTTTTATAATTTTATTTACTTGTAAGTTTGTTAATGGAACTTGTATCAATGAATTTTGTCTGTCAATAACTGATAAATATAAACTAAATCAAAAGGAGCCACCATTTTAAAGTGTGGAATTAAACAAATGATTATGCTTCAGAAGGAGTAGGTAAATATTTGAAATATTATTATTTTCCTGTCATTAAACAACTGCATGGATTTTCAGCAAAATTATTAGCATGTGTTTTGTTATATTATTTTATTTTTTATTTTAGAAGACCCAAAGATTCACATTGATTTCTATAACTTTGAAGATCCTGTGTATGAAGACAGTAAATATGTTTTGACGAGTCCTAGGTCACTTGAGGCATGTGCTAAAGTTGGAGTAAAGGTACACATGAATTGTTCATCAAATTTTAAAAAACAATAAAAAAGTGCTTAATCCAATGAAAGATCAATATATATACATGTAGCTACATTATACTCTTGCTTGTAAGTTCTCACACTTAAATTGAACAAGTTTATGTTGCTGGTAATTGATTGATGTATGGTCTATCTACTGTTAGCTATGTGATATGGAGCTCAATTGACTAAGTTTATGTTGCTCGTAATTGATTGATGTATTGTCTATCTACTGTTAGCTATGTAATACAGAGCTCAATTGACTAAGTTTCTGTTGCTCGTAATTGATTGATGTATGGTCTATCTACTGTTAGCTTTGTGATACTGAGCTCAATTGATGGAACAAGTTTCTGTTGCTCGTAATTGATTGATGTATGGTCTATCTACTGTTAGCTATGTGATACTGAACTCAATTGATGGAACAAGTTTCTGTTGCTCGTAATTGATTGATGTATGGTCTATCTACTGTTAGCTATGTGATACTGAGCTCAATTGATGGAACAAGTTTCTGTTGCTGGTAATTGATTGATGTATGGGATATCTACTGTTAGCTATGTGATACTGAGCTCAATTGACTAAGTTTCTGTTGCTGGTAGTTGATTGATGTATGTTCTATCTACAGTTAGATTTGTGTGACACTGAACTCAATTGATTAAGTTTCTGTTGCTGGTAACTGATTGATGTATGGTCTATCTACTGTTAGCTATGTGATACGGAGCTTAATTGACTAAGTTTATGTTGCTCGTAATTGATTGATGTATGGTCTATCTACTGTTAGCTATGTGATACTGAACTCAATTGATGGAACAAGTTTCTGTTGCTCGTAATTGATTGATGTATGGTCTATCTACTGTTAGCTATGTGATACTGAGCTCAATTGATGGAACAAGTTTCTGTTGCTCGTAATTGATTGATGTATGGTCTATCTACAGTTAGCTTTGTGATACTGAGCTCAATTGACTAAGTTTCTGTTGCTGGTAATTGATTGATGTATGGTCTATCAACTGTTAGCTATGTGATACTGAGCTCAATTGATGGAACAAGTTTCTGTGGCTGGTAATTGATTGATGTATGGTCCATCTACTGTTAGCTATATAATACTGTGCTCAATTGATTGAACAAGTAAAAACCAAGTCATCTACACAAGGTTCTTGACACTACTGAAATAAGCATGACAACGCTTTGATCTACAATAATGACATCTTTCTGCTTGTCCATGATTGTGTATGTTTTTTGCCTGTTGACATTTATCAACTACATATTGAAAACTGATGACTACCTTTATCCAAAAAAGGATTAATCCACATGTTTGCAATGTCTTATCTTTCTTGTGTTTTTTTTCCAAAGAAAACTGAAGTCATGAGCATATTAGTTTTTACATAGATCTGCATTATTGCTAATTAATTTATGATTTTAAGGTACAGTTGAAAATACATTTAGTTTGTTATTTCAGCCAGTGGACATTCTGTACAAGCCTCTAACTGATTTCCAGGAAGAACTTCTACCTCAAGACATCCCACTAAGGACCATTTATAATATTTATGATGAACATGAGCAAGAAAGACAAAGTAAGTAGCTGCTTTAATTCATGTAGTCTTAGGTATGTCTTTTGTTTTAAACATTATTTTTGTCTAAATTGGACTGTTATACAAACTAAACACAAAATTATGAAGATGGAAAAAAAAGAATCTTTTCCTTCAGATCAATGGTCCTTCGGTTTTCAATCCACAATCATCAAATTTTCTTAGTTGTCTTTATAAACATTGACAATATCCACATCCTTTTGTACAGTTAAACCTCGTTGTGTTGAAAACTTGGATGAGTCAAAGTAATTTCTCGGTACTGGTAAAATTTCCATTTGATCAATGCATTTTGAAAAAAAATGTGGAGTATTGCAACCACGCCATTTGAGACTGATTAAGTTTTTTTGAAAACAATAAGAATCTTCCATGGTTTTTATAGCATTGATTAAAATGTACATTTTCTAATTTGTTGCAGGATTACTCAAATTATGTAAAGAAGAAAGGAAGAAACTTGTTGATGGAGAAGGTACCACTAAAAAAACAGCAAGGAGGAAGCTAGGCCTAAACACTACTTCACAGAAGACAGGCACGTCAACCCAAAGAAGATCTAGAACACCAAACAGATCGAAAATTACCGGTACTAGGTCTCAATCAGGTAGTTCTACAGCAATCCATAAAAACCACTAGGTTATTGTTAACTGAAAAAAAAAAATGAACAAAGTATGATTAAAATGTAGAAAGATTTTTACGCAGAACTAACCTTTAGCATTTAATATGACCTTATTGTCCGCTGATATAAACATGTAATATTACAAAAAAAATATAATCAAGTCTATAGACTACCAGTATTGGTGGATAAGGAAAACCCTTTGTATGACAAAAAAATAATTAGAAAATTTGGGTTATTGTCAATATTTATTGTTGGGAAAGATACAGTATTGAGTGATTTAAACATTAATTATCTTTGTTTTTAGAGTAATGTATTATTATATTCTCACAGAGGAGGATTTGAAGAAAACAAAAAGCAGTCTTCAAAGAACAAGAACTGCCTGGGCTACATCTGTTGGTCACAAACGAGTTACTAATGATGAGTTAAATAACAGGTAAGTAACACAACAGCTTAAGCCACATCTGTTGGTCATAAACGAGTTACTAATGATGAGTTAAATAACAGGTTAGTAACATAACAGCTTAAGCCACATCTGTTGGTCATAAACGAGTAACTAATGATGAGTTAAATAAGAGGTTAGTAACACAACAGCTTAAGCCACATCTGTTAGTCATAAACGAGTTACTAATGATGAGTTAGATAACAGGTTAGTAACACAACAGCTTAAGCCACATCTGTTGGTCATAAACGAGTTACTAAGGATGAGTTAGATAACAGGTTAGTAACATCACAGCCTGGGTCACATCTGATGGTCATAAACAAGTTACTAAGGATGAGTTAGATAACAGGTTAGTTACATCACAGCCTGGGACACATCTGTTGGTCATATACATCTTACTAATGATGAGTTATGGTGTATTGACATCATGTCTATTGATCCAATCTGTATTCAAGTATCCTTATCCTTGCTTATTTACATCGTTTGAAAATAATACCTATAAAAACTAGCTTTTAGAAGTTGTGAAGATTTCTATAGCAAACAAAAACAAATATAATGGTAGCAAAGATTTGATTTTAGAAATTCAGAGTAGTGTAAATATAATTTCATGTGCCTTAAATCTTGAGAGTGGTAATAGAAGAAATGAACCTTTATAGAGTTTTCAATGATTTCTTTTACTTTTCTTTGCATATAAAAGCTGTTTTAACCGAATTTGTTTACAACAGTTTCAACACTGCTGTGCTAGTTTTCACAAGAAATTGTAGCAAAAATCATTATATTTGTTTTTATGCCCTCGCCGTAGCGGAGGGGGCATTAATTTTTACCCTTGTCCATCTGTACGTCTGTATGTCCAAAAATTGGTTTTTGTTCTCTAACTTAAGTTTGCCTCAACCAAATGTTAGGAAACTTATACACAATGCTTATTACCACAAAACACAGATCAAGTTTGAATATTGGTGCCGTCACTTTTACCATTCTAGAGTTATGCCCCTTTACAAATGGAAAAAATGCTGAATTTTTCGTTTCCGTTCTCTTTCTTTAGTTTGCCTCTACCAACTGTTATGAATCTTATACACAATGCTTATTACCACAAAACACAGTTCAAGTTTGAATTTTAGTGGCGTCACTTTTATCGTTCTAGAGTTAAGCCCCTTTACAAATGGAATAATTGCTGAATTTTTCGTTTCCCTTCTGTAACTTTAGTTTGCCTCAACCAAATGTTATGAAACTTATACACAATGCTTATTACCACAAATCACTGATCAAGATTGAATTTTGGTGGCGACACTTTTACCATTCTAGAGTTATGCTCATTTACAAATGGGAAAATTGCTGAATTTTTCGTTTCCGTTCTCTAACTTAAGTTTGCCACAACCAAATGTTATGAAACTTATAAAAAATGCTTATTACCACAAAGCTCAGATCAACTGCAAATTTGGGTAGCGTCACTTTTACCGTTCTTGAGTTATGTACCTTTATAATGTTATGTGCAAGTGGGGACATCATTTGTGTCCCAGAGACACATTCCCCATTTTTTTTTCTACAAGAGAGAGGGAGAAGTTTTTCTAAGGGTTAAACTTGCAAAGTTATCAAAAGCTTCTTTATTGCCAACTTCCTTTACAAACAATCTAAAAAAAAACATCCAAATTACTGCTTATTCACTATTACTTAGGGATTTTGTGGGTAAATGTTAAACACAAATTGCTTAACAATATACACATTTCATTTATTCTTGTATACAGAATTTGGTAAAACCTGGTAGTCAAGTATTTATAAAAATTTGATTTTCCCTAATCTGTAACAATTGGTAATGACCAAACTGAATGTACAACAGTATTTTGTAATCATAATTTTCATGGACAATACAAAAAGAAGATCTCAAGTTCTCATGTTTCCTTTTTGTTTACTCTATGATATATTACAGGGTGAAAGAACTACATGAAGAAAGCTTGAAATTAAGAGAAGAATTATTGTCCAAGAAAGAAAAAAGAAACAGGCAAAGGTATTCTTTAATTGTTAATATTCATATAAATGGACAGAGATGTAATGTTTACCTCCATGGCAGCAACCAGACAAATCAGTTAATCGAAATACATTCATACAGTCTTTAACAATAGATAGGTTTATACATAATTTGTTCAGCACTTATTCTCCAAGGTTTATACATAATTTGTTCAGCACTTATTCTCCAAGGTTTATACATAATTTGTTCAGCACTTATTCTCCAAGGTTTATACATAATTTGTTCAGCACTTATTCTCCATGAGTCAAAGTAAATTGTCAATAAACAGAGACTATTCAAAGATTCTCGGATTTTTTAAAAGTTGGATAGAGATCATAAAAGTTATTTTTTTTAATGGTTTTATCACCATTGCTACAACATAAAATGTCTTTTTACAGTTTCATAACAAAAACAATATTTTACAGTATTTTAATTTATTAGAAATCATTGCTTAACTCCTTAAGGAATAGCACATCCTCTATAAAAACTAAATGTCCTTTAAATCATCAGCCAGTCACATTATTTAAGAAATGTTAAAGTTGTAATTTTAGCCATATCTTGCTCCCAAAGAAGTGTTATTTTTTAGTTTTATGTTGCCATCTTTTTTGGCTTGAGTTATTTTGGGCTACTAGAACATAGGATATACAAGAAAAAAGTCCCTATAGCATTTGCTTTCAGTTCAAATACTGTAAATTCCGAGATTTATGTTATATTCATATTAATTCATATTAATGTGGATAATGTGACTGAGAACAATAGATCACATTGTGTAAATTTCATATTTTTATAATGATCATGCCTATTCCAAAAATAGATCAGTTCATGTTAAAATAATGTATTTCACATTTCATTTGATCTAACAAAACAATGCATTAATTTTCTAGATTACAGCATATATATGTGTGATGGGGAACAATGGATAATCAAAAGGCATTTAACATAAAATTGGTTCTTAGAAATGTGTAAAATGTCCTTAAAAGGGTTAAGATATGGATGATAATTAAATATTCCTTAGAAATGAACTTGAAAATTAAAAAGGGTAGACTGTCATTGAATTCATTGAATTCATAAAATATTTTTTTCTTTTTGAGAATCCTTTCAACATTTCTATGTGTATCCTGGACTTACCTTTTTCATTAACTCATCTGGCCTTATGGTCAGAGTTATTGTTTCCATCAGTATGATTTCATTGTCTGTGTGTCAACTGGGCTCTCGGTCATTTTAATTGGTTGATTTTTAGTCTGAGTATGATAATCCTGCCAAATTTTAAGAAAAACATATGTTGCTGATACTCTTTTGAAGAATGTAGTTGGACAAAAGATTCTGAAAAAAACCTGCAAAATTATTCATTAAGAAGTCCATTGGTAGGACTTATTCATTGCAATATGGGAAAACTTAAGAGACCTTAAGTAATTTTGGTTAAAAAATTTGTGGAGTGAAAGTTTATGGAGCAAGTATCGCACAAAAAAAAGTTCCAGTTTGGTACATATTTATAGTTTAATTTAAATAATTTCAGCTAAATTTATTTGTTTGTTAAAATACATATCCTAAGTAGTGCAAGTTACTATAAAATGTACATACAAATAATTTTGATATTTTACTAAAAACAGAAATTGTAGATTTTTTTAATTATTGTTATATTTCAGTCCAAAATCTCGACCCAAATCAACCCCAATAAGAAGATCAAGAAGTACATCTAGTTTAGTGTCCAATGGAAGTTCATGTTTGTTGAATAGAAGTACAATTGATAGTGCTCAACCAATATCTAATACTAGACTGAAGAAAACACTGAATAAATCTATAGATACAAGTCATGTGGTAGTCACACCAAGGGTAGGTCATTTTGCATTGATGAGAATTCAAATAAAATTCATGTGGTGCTCATATAAGTTGTCAAGAAATGTATTGTTAGGAAAACACAAATAAATCTGTGAAAAATAAATCATAGCAAGAATTGGTAAAGATGGGTTATTATATATCAAGGTTGGCAAAAAAGCGGTCAATACTAGTATTGACCATGCCGGCGGTAAATACCGGTAAATACCGGGAAATACTGGCAAATACTGGTCAATACTGGCAAATACTGGTCAATTGAAATTTTGATAGGACTTTACTATAAAACTAGTCCCTACCTCAGGTCAAATACTTGGTAAATGGATAGATATAGTCACAAGGCAGAAAGTCACTTATTTACTACATTGTAATAAGACAAAAAGTCACAATTAATTAGTTCATGAACATGGTTTAATGAAGATTTATCAAATATTAATTTAATCATACAACAAATATAGTCATTAACACCATGAAGTCAGTTACTTAAGAGAGACTATATAACATCTGATTTTCTTAACAGTTATTTTGAAAGATGCAATTAAAAAATTTTTAAAAATTGTTTTATATATATATATGTTATATATTTATTAAAAAAAACATTTCCTGCATTTAGAACATTTTTATCATGCTGTTGAATAGTCAGGAATTAATTCATTGTTTAAAACAATCTTTAGAAATCACTTTTATGACTTTTTTCCTGTTATGTCAACATTTATTAGGGGACAGTTGTTATAGTAATTAAACTTTTGACACCTGTTAGCCATATTATAGGTAATGTTCTGATAATCTATATTGCTAGTCACTTGTAATTCTATTTACCTGTAATATTCAAACCTTTTCAAGAAAAAAATATCTTGATTTATACATGTTAGAATAACTGATATAGCTGCTCAATTTTATATGTATACCAAAAGTATGCAATATCATTACTCCTAAGAACTAAATTAGTCATTTTTATTGTTTTAATAATTAATAACATACCAATATCATTCATTTTTATAAATTGAATCATGCCAAAGGAATAAAGTTTTCCCTCATCAACCATTTTTTACTAGAATTGATAGATAAGTCAGTCAAAAGAAGCATGAAAATTTCAATTGACCAGTATTTGCCAGTATTGACCACTTGGGGAGTATTGTCCAGGGCGGTAAATACCGGTTAATACCACTGGTAAATACCGGGGGTGGTAAATACCGCCCAACCTTGTTATATATGGAAATCACATAAGTGATATGGTATTCTTGAATAACAAAATTCATAACTTATGCAATTAATTGATAATATTCTATATAAAAGTAAAAATGCAAGATGGTTTGGGTTTTTGTCTCGCCTGCAACGAAAGTTGCAGAAAGTGAGACATAGGTATTACTATCCGGCGGCGGCGGCAGCGATGGCGGCGTAAACTATTTGTATAAAGCTTTATATTTCAGAAGGTAGAAGACCTGGATGCTTCATACTTTGTATGCAGATACCTTATGTTACGAACTTTCCGTCTGTCATATGTCCAATGTCCTTGACCTTATTTTCATGGTTCAGCGACTGCTTGAAAAAAAAGTTTAGTTTTTTTGTTATGTAAATTTCTCACTTATTATGAGTAATAGGATAACTATATTTGGTATATGGGTTCCTTGCAACGTCTACATGTCCATCAGACAGGGTTCACCTGACCTCAGCCTCATTTCATGGATCAGTGATCAAGGTTAAAGTTACATGATTAGGTCCGTTTCTCAGATACTACAAGCAGTAGGTCAGCTATATGTGGTTGTATGGAATGATTATAAGGGATACATGTCAGTCTGGCAGGTTTCATCTGACCTTGACCTCATTTTCACGGTTCATTGGTCAATGTTAAGTTTTTGTGTTTTGGTCTGTTTTTCTAATACTATAAGCCATTGGTCAACTATATTTGGTGTATGGAATGATTGTAAGGTGTACATGTCTGTCTGGCAGGTGTCATTTGTTCTTGACCTATTTTCATGGTTCATTGGTCAATGTTAAGTTTTTGTGTTTTGGTCTGTTTTTCTAATACTATAAGCAATAGGTCAACTATATTTGGTGTATGGAATGATTGTAAGGTGTACATGTCTGACTGGCAGGTGTCATTTGTCCTTGACTTCATTTCCATGGTTCATTGGTCAATGTTAAGTTTTTGTGTTTTGGTCTGTTTTTCTAATACTATAAGCAATAGGTCAACTATATTTGGTGTATGGAATGATTGTAAGGTGTACATGTCTGTCTGGCAGGTGTCATTTGTCCTTGACCTCATTTTCATGGTTCATTGGTCAATGTTAAGTTGCTCTTGTTTGGTCCTCTTCTCAGATACTATAAGTTATAGGTCAACTATATGTGGTGTATGGAATGATTGTAAGGTGTGCACGTCTGTCTGACAGGTGTCATCTTACCTTGACCTCATTTTATGGTTCATTGGTCAAATTTCAGTTTCCTCAATGAGGTTTGTTTCTAAGATACTTTAGGCAATATATGTTAAATAAATTTGGTGTATGGAATGATTGTACGGCCTACATGTTTGTCTGATAGGATTTATCTCACCTTGACTTCATGTTCATTCATCATTAAAATGTTAATTTAATGTAAAGCTTATATAAACTTATTTTTTTTAAATTCAATTATGAACACTAAAACAGGCGAGACATTTCAGTGTGTCAACTCTTGTTTTCTTCTTTGTAAAGTGAAAAAGTTAGCAGAGTTGGTTTTAAAAGGTTTATGAGAAATTTGATTATTGTTTACTTATTTAAATGTACCATACATTAAGAATGACAGAATAACCTTGACAAGACTATTGCATCATCCATGCAAAAGCCTTCTGATTGTTTTAAATTTTAGATTATTATACAGTTATAAAGTAAGTTCTTGATAGTTGGCGTAATAGAAGTCTATAAGATTGAACCAAGATCTTTTAATCAATAGCAAACCTTTTATAGGACCAAAGAATTTTAGAACTAATGATGACAAAGGGTGAACAGGAGAGAGCAACTAACCGTGACAGATTTATAGCTGATCTGACTTGGGAACATCAGAGAAAATTAGAAGAAGAATCCAGGGTGCAGTCTGAAATGAAAAGACGCAGGATGCTAGCAGAGGAGAATCGAATCAAATTATTAAAAAAGGTACAGTAAAAGGGGAAAGAAATAAAGGCAATCATTTTTGAGCTTCAATCTGTAAGTTAGTTAAAGTCACTTCAAAACTGATCAGCAGTTTTATGTTTTCTGATGAAAGCCACACATGTTTATTGTTATATCTTTAAAATTTTTAACATACATGTATAATGTTGTATTATATAGAATACTAATCATTTAACTAAATATAAACTTATTTCTAAATAAATTATTCAAAGTTACTGTTGCAGGGCAACACTTTAATGTCAAATAAAACAGCTGTTGTCCATAAACCCAGTCAATAACCTCAATACTGTTGCTATGGTTACTGTTGGTGTTCCTCATATGACTGTTTTCATGTGAAATAAGAACATTCTAACATCCTTTTGTTTGACATTGAATGTTAGTTTTCACAAAGAAATAGGGTATTGCAACCATTCAAGGTTTTTAAATTCTAATTTTAAGTGATCTTTTCAGCTAAACTCTATGGTAGACTCTAACAGGAAAACCTAGAAAACAAGACAACTTGTTATACAGATAAGAACCATTACCTATAAATGATGTTTACCGTGTGCAGATATAAGATCATTAATATTACAGACATAAAACAGCAAAAATATCTTTATTGATATGAAAAAGAATTGTTTGTTAATCTTCGTTGAGACTTATGTCACTTTTCTTGTTACGGAATAAATTAGAGAAGTTTTATTTCCAATTACTTAGAAATTCAGTTAGACTTCTAAAGTATCAATAAAGGATGTATATTTAAAAAATTTTCATTGGCCAATATCAAGTTATATTTGTAAAATTTTAGATGGAATCAGAGAAAAGAAGACAAAGGAGGGAGAAATCTCAATTGGAAAGAAAAGAACAGTCACTGCACCAAGCAATGCAGAAATGGGATATCTCATCAAGAACTCAACAAAAACAGAAGGTTGGTTTTTTAGGAACATATCCCCAAACTTCGGTTTTCATTGTTGTACCCTTCTCAGCAAAGTTGTTAAAGATTTTATGTTTTCAACTCTAACATCAATTTGTTTGTCTGTCATCCCATTATTGTCACCTTGATAGCACTTTTAATTCAAATTGCATCCCCTTCCATTTGAATGAATTTGAACTCTTAAATATGATCTTTTAAGGAAAAATCTGAAATGGAAAACGATTTTATAAAGGGGACTAGGAAAACTATCTTATCTTGATATAAAACCTTTATTTCTGTTTGGATCCCTTCAAATTAGCACAAAGGTTACTCAGATATAATCTTTGTTTAATTCAAATTTTGACAAAATGAAAAATATTAGGGACTTTTTTGGAAAGAGTGTCTTGTACAAATACACATATCACAAAACCATGGATTGTAATACTATCAAAACATGAAATGATTATGAAAAAAAAAGGAAATGGGGATCCGGTTTTAGGTGAGGGCTTGTACAAATACAATATAATTATTGTTGTCACCTTGGTAGAATCTTTATTTCATGTAAGATCTCTTTCAAATAAAAAATAGGGCTTACCATCAATAAAAACAACAATACATTAATTTGAAGTTGAAAACTATTTTTTTTCATGGGGTATATGTTAATCCATTGATTTCAGAGCATGAGGAATGCTGGCTTGCTAAATAATATTATTTTCAAGTGTAGTTGTACCACTTGTATGCTTTTTTATGTACAGTATTTTATAATGCATGTTGAATTATGATATATTTATTTGCTGTAGATTTAATAGATCATTATGTAATCAAAATAAGACAAAGATGATTCTACAGTCGAACTTGGTCGTGTCGAAAACTCAGATGAGTCGAAGTAATTGCTTGATCCTGACAAAATTCTCATTTAATCAATGCACTTTCATCTCTGATGAGGCGAACTTGGTTGCTTCGAAAGTCAAAAAAATTTTAAAGTCCTTTTATTTGAAAATTAATGTAAATTTCTTTATGTCTCGAAGTTCGAAAGTAAGAAATTTTCAAAAAAATGCAGACTTAAAGATAGAAATTAAAATCTTTAGTGTTTTGAACATATTTCACCTGATATAAAAACAAAACAAATTCAAATGACCAAAGCAGAGCTTAAATGAATCCTCTGAATTGAAATTCATTAGTTGCAATAATTAAAAGGATAAAGACAATTATGACAAATTTATAATAATTGAATGCAAAGCAGACGACTTTTATCAGGGATCTTTCAGAACTTGTTTTGTTCCATGAGTGGTTCCATAATTTATAGTGACTAACCTTTTTAAATATTTGTGTATTGATTTTATTTGTGAATGTTTTGTATCTGGTCTTGTGTGTTAATTATTATGATGGACCAAAAACATAGAGCTTTACACAGTATCAAAAAAGACGCAATGTTCAAAATATCTAGTTTTACACAAAACTCATACCATACTTCATGCATTCCAAATTCATTACGACACACTCGACATTTGATGAGTTGAACCTTAGATAAGTCCAATACTTTCGTCTGGTCCCTTCAACTTTGACTTAACGGGGTTTCGATTGTATTTTGAATGATGTACCCGTAGAGAAATGAATAAAATACTGAACTATTTTTGTTTAGGCTGCATCATTTTGTTCCAAAAGCAAGGGGTAGTGATCCTACATTCTCTCATCGTCTGCAGCTTTTTTATGATTAAAAGACATTATCCAGAGCGAAATTTTTAGAATATATTTTTTGGGGTATTTTACTGATAAAAGTAATTAGTTTTTTCATTTTTTCAGTTAACAGTTAGATACAGTTGGGGTTACAGTTTTTTTGGACATCAATTATTCTGTCAAACATTCAGGGAATTTTATATACTTTTACATAAGTCTTTTTATGATAAAAAAATAACAGTATCTTGAGCAAAATTCTAAGAATATTTATTTTTCCCTTTTTCCTCATTTTGGGATTATGGACTTAGTTTTTTTTTGCAGTTAACATTGAGATACAGTCTTAGGTTAAAGTTTTTCAGACATCAATAACTTTGTCAAACCTTGAACTTTTGTCAAAATGTAAATTTTTAGGAAACTTGGACAAAAACGTCTTCAAGAAATATCATCTGAAGCAAAAATTTTAAATTTAAAATCCCCCCCCCAGTATTTTATGGACTTAGTTTTTGGCAGTCAACACTACACTTTTGCACTGACAGTAGCCATCACAGGCAATATACACAGGGTTCCACAGAACCCTTTTATGAATTTTTATTAACTTGAAACAGATTGATACACCTCATTTAAACTTCCCTTTTTTATTTTCAACATATTAATGAAAAAAGTTCTTTATTTATCTATTCCAATAAAATTGCTTCAATAGGATCTTCAAATAAAGGAAAGAAAAGACAAAGAACAGTTAAAGAGGAGAATACAGGTACAATTAACGGGAATAGTCTTCTGTAACCACAGTTTGTAATAGCATAGAATTTGTCTTTAAAGAACAACATATCATAGCCAGATCCTTTATGATCACTTTGTCTTTAAAAACAGTGTTTATTTCACATGAAAATTGTTCCTCTTTGAATTTATCAAATTTATTGGTTGAACAAGCACATTTTTATTGAGATGTTATAGCCTTGAAATCTCATGTAACTTTTAAATACAAATATCAAAAACATTCAGAAAGGTCAAGTAGAATTATTGTTGCATGTGATGTATTTGCAAAAAAAAAAAAAACAGTCATCCAGATAAAATAAGGTTTTATTCTGAAAATGCATGAAATATTTGCTGTCCAGATCAATCAGACAATCCATACAATTGTCTTTTTTCTCAAATTCAGTCAGCATTTAAATCTCTTAAACACTGTACGTTCAAGAATTAGTAAATACATTTAGCTGAAATATTTAAAAAAAACCACTTGTGTCATTTTCTTTTTAAAGGTAGACAATATTCAGTAAGAGGACAAATAGATTTAGTGATATTTCTGGTCATTATTAGACAAGTATTAACATTTATTAGTCTTTCAAATTCAGGTTTCCAAACTTGATGGCATTTTAACAGTTAAGGTACACAATATAAATACACATAGCAACTTTAATTAGTCTAACATATGCCATGTATGTGCATCATCATGTATGGAAGAATATGCATGTGGAAGATATGCCTTTTTGTAAATTTATACATATATACAAATAGATATTATTATTATACCTTACATATAATATAAACAATTCTGTTGGGTAACACATTATCACATGACATGGAATAATTCAGTTAATTTTCATTTAATCCAAGAAAGGACAAATAACCCTCATAATTTACACCAGCATTGAATAACCCTATTATTCACCGGTGAATAACCTTTTGAGCTTCTTGATTGTACACCAGTTATCTCCCACTTAAATGACGTCACAGACGCATGTAAACAAATAAAAAAAACCATCAGTTATTTTATAGAAAGAGTCTACCTTTGTTTTTCATAGGAGAAATTTTTTGACACAAAATAATTTTCTAACATAAGTTTTTTGACAATCTATAACTACAGTAAGGCAAGTGCTTTTTCAATGGTTCAAAACCCTACCACTGTTAGTTTGGTATAATAAAACCATTGTAACCCTTTAGAAACGATGAATATCCAAAATTGTCAATCCTTAAAAGTTATTTCACTTTGTGCTGCGTCCTTAGGGAAATAACCTTTTAGGGTTGACAAATTTGGATATTTACCTTTTCCTCGGCCCATAATTGTATATTGTTAGAAAGGGTTATTTCATTTGTACATAATTTACATTTGAGAAGACACACTAAATGTCTCATGTCCAATGACATTAACCAACCAGTTTGTTTGAAGTTTTTTTTCTGAGGGTTTAAATGGTATAATCCTAATATTATTTATGGATGGGGATTTTATTTTAATGGTATCATTATATCATGACAGAAATTTGAACATTCAATTCAAAATTGATTTTTGTTGAACCTTAGTGAAAAAGGTTGCTCCTTAACACCCCCTACAATAAACGTTTATATAAAATATATATTTTAAGGCTGACTGATGTAAGAATATGAAGACTCTGTTAACATTTGAATTTGATTCTTGTACTTCATTAAATGACATTATGTTAATGCTTTAGATCTTTTCTGGAATCTGGTATTGTTTGGTTGCTGCCTCATTTATGAATACATGTACAATTTTTGTTTGAGAAAAAATATATTAATGATCTCTACAAATTAAAAATTTTAATAAATAGGAAGATGTCATGCCTTTTAACCTGAATTTTCTTTATTTTTATGAACAAAGATGTTTTTTATTTGTGATATTTCATAATGTATATAAGGCTTATCTTAGCTAACGGCAAAGAATGCAGATTTTAAATAATTTTTCTCTTTGTTAAGGTGGTACCTAACACTACAGGGAGATAACTCTGTAAAAATCAGCTAAACGTTTTAATTACGTTGTATTGTTAAGAAAATATTAAGCTTCTCAATGATCAAAATTAGTGTTTGTCAAACTGCTATATAACCAATAAAATTTTTCTGATAAAGTGGTTGGTTCAAGTTTTTTGAAATTTTTATGTTTTTGTCAAAGGGTCAAAGTAAACATTTTGTCAAAATTTTTTGAAAATTAAACGAGCCAAATTAGTATTAGTCAAGGTGTTGGGTACCACCTTAATTTGACAATAACAAGAAAAAAGTTACTTACCAGCTAAAATATAGCAAATCCTTTCTATGTCAATATGAATGAAGACAGTAAGGTAACATATACTCTTCACCATGAGACAAATGTTCATGCAATTTGTCAAGCTTTTGATTATCCCTAGTCAAGAAAAGTTGTGAAAAAATCAAAAGACAGCCCAAGATCTGTTATCAATACCAAATTCCTAAAGGACAGAAAAAAAACATTCCAATATCAATAAAGACAATCACAGATGAGAATCTTGACAGACACTTGAACATGTGTTGGGATTAAAACTAGTTTTTAGAGATTGCAACCCTCTCCTTCTTAATCTTGATCAGTGGTTTATTAGAAAACACACAAAATTTGATCCCTTTTAATAGACAAAAGTTAAGATACATTGTATATTATTTCCATATTTGTTCTAATATTTAAATGAAATGGGAACATTTTTACATTGATTTATGAATATTTTAAAGTTTATAGGATAAAACATTCTGTCATAATCTGTCTCATTAATACATTAAGGCAGGTAAGAAATATTTATAGTTCCTTTTATATTCATGAAATAGAACAGGTAAAGTAAGTTAACAAATTTATAAAAGCATGTACTGTTTATTAAAGACAAGGAACAAAAAAATTAGAGCAAGAGATGAGTTAGAAATGAAAGACCTGATGGTACAACAGCAAGATTTTGAAATAAAATCTGTAGCTCAGAGGAAACAGGATAGGATACTTAGAGATAGTTTAGTAAGTAGCTCAGAGATATGAGATTGACTAGAAAATTTGTTAACATTTACTAGATTTTGTTTAAAAGATATTATTGAATATATTGTATAGTTTATTTTGAATGCCTAGCTTGCATGTTTTGGTACGGTTCATACATCATACAACTTTTATTTTACAAGAGAATAGATTAAAATATTTATAGGGAGCAGATTGGTGTTTCTTCTGGCATCATTTGTTCAAATTCATTAGTTTAGTAAAAATGTGTGATAACTACATATTGTGTGAAACAGACTATTTTTTTTATATATATGTATTTAAAAACCAGATATTAATGGAAAATTGTTATTCTTATTTTTTCAATGTTTTCTGTCTACATGTTTTTGTTTGTTTTAAGTGTTATAGAATGAACACAATTTTTCTGCAGATTATTGAAAAAAAAAGACAAAATTTGCCAAAATATTGTCACAAAATCATTAAAAGAATTTAAGATGCCTTGCAATATTTCTCCTTTCTCAACAGTTTTAAAAACTGTCTTAAAATGAGATAAATGGTATCACACTTGATGCAGTGGTAAAATCTATCTGTCATGTTGATTTGAAGTGATAAGTTCAAATGGTGAAACTCATTAAGATACTAACAGTTTAATGGCCATTCAGTGGATTAAGTAAACATTTTGTTTGTTGTATGGTAAGAATTTACAATATACTAGCTAAGTAAAACTAAAAGGGAAGGGGAAATGATTGTAACCATTTGCTAGCAATAGGGGTACATAAAATTGTTTTAGCTTTAATTCTGATATTTTGTTCTAATGTTTATATTTTTTCACAGATGAAAATGTTGCATAATAGAAAAGAGAGAGATCAATTTGAAAGTCGTCATACAGTTGTAGAGAAAGAGTCAAGGTATGTAATCAAATGTTATATTTACAAACATTGTGTACACTGATTTAGGTCACTTTTTGTGACTGCCACATGACAATACCCTGATAACCTTTGGCAAATTTGTTTGCATCAAAATGATGTTCTTTTTTAGCTCATCTGGCCCAAAAGGGCCAAGTGAGCTTTTCTCATCACTTGGCGTCTGTCGTCCGTCATCCGTTAACTTTTACAAAAATCTTCTCCCCTGAAACTGCTGGGCTAAATACAACCAAACTTGGCCTAAATCATCCTTAAGGTATCTAGTTTAAAAAATGTATTCGATGACCCTGGCCATCAACCAAGATGGCCGCCATGGCTAAAAATAGAACATGGAGTAAAATGCAGTTTTTGGCTTATATCTCTGAAACTAAAGCATTTAGAGCAAATCTGACATAGGGTAAAAATGTTCATCAGGTCAAGATCTATCTGCACTGAAATTTTCAGACACATCAAACAACTCATTATTGGGTTGCTCTCCTTGAATTTATCATTTTAAGGAAATTTTGCAGTTTTTTGTTATTATCTTGAATATTATAACAGATAGAGATAAACTGTAAACAGAAAAATTGTTCAGCAAAGTAAGATCTACAAATAAGTCAAACATGACCAAAATTGTCAAATGACCCCATAAGGAGTTATTGAAGTCAATTTTTCACAATTTTTTGTAAATTTTTGTAATTTTTTACAAAAATCTTCTCCTCTGAAACTACTGGGCAAAATTAAACCAAACTTGGCCTAAATCATCCTTAGGGTACCAAGTTTCAAAAATATATCCAATGACCCTGTCATCCAACCAACATGGCCACAATGGCTAAAAATAGAACATAGGGGTTTACTATAGAAGTCTAAGGGAAAATTGTAAAAAAAACAATTTCAAATGGTCACAACTTGAAAACTGATTTAAATAATGATAAGGGGTCTTCAGTAACTATTGTAAGACTACAATGGGATGACCTGCTTATAATTTAACTACTTGGCCAAATTAAACCAAACTTGGCCTCAATCATAATTAGGGTATCTAATACTATTAATTATGATTTTAACCTTATTTTACACGATTTCCAAAACAACAGTTGATACAGGTGAACGACACAGACTCTTGAGAGCCTCTAGTTATTCATTGTTTACTTTCCCTATTATTCATTGTTTACTTTCCCTATGATGACTTGTGGATAGTTGACTCCAATCAAGTAGGATATACGGTGCTATAGTTCCGGCTTTTATAATAAATCTATATGGGCAATAAAGGTATTTAAATTATACAATGAAAAAAAATAAATGACTGGTAGACAGGTTGACAATGTGTTAAAAATGTAAATATTTGTATGGTTGACTGGTTGACAGGTTGACAAGTCGACAAGTTGACAATGTTGAAAATGTAAATATTTTTATGCTTAATTGGTCGACAGGTTGACAAGTTGACAAGTTGAAGTTGAAAATTTAATATAGTTAAAACTGAAGTTATGGTTGACAAGTCGACAGGTTGACACTTTGAAAGAATTTATATTGTGTAAAATAGTATTATTAGTGACTGGAAGACAGGTTGACAAGTCGACAAGTTGACAAGTTGACAATTTGACGGTGAGAAATGAAAACTGTAATAATGGTTTACAGGTTGACAGTCAACAGATTGACAGGTCGACAGGTAGACAGTAATAAGTCAAGACTTCATAAAAAGGTTAAAAAACTGAATTGTAAATTTAAACCTGTCAACCTGTTAACCATTACACTTGTCAACCTGTCAACCTGTCGACCTTTTCACTTGTCGACCTTTCAACATGTTGACCTGTTGACTTTCACACTTGTCGACCTTTCTAGTGTCAACCTGTCGCAGGTCGACCTATTAGTCTGTCAACTTGTGTACATATAAATCGATTTACTTCTTAAGTTAAACCGAATTACTCCTCTGTTCTTCCGAAGAACTACAGTACTGTTTATCCTACTTGACCCCATTAGCCATGGTTACAATATAAGTTGTTAATAAACATGTAGTCATCACAAAAAAAACTTTTAATTTCTTGTTAATTCTGTAGGGAAAATAGAAAAGACTTAGAAAAGGATGTACATATAAAAATGACAGAATCTGAAAGGAAATACCAAGATGTTTTACAACAGAGGGATATACAGATAAATCTCAATAAGTAAGTGCTATAGATGTTACTCTAAATACCCAGATGGGGGGATTGGGCACGGCCTCCTCTAAATTTAAAAAATGTTTTTAATTACACTTTTCTTATTTTTTTTACTGCTGCCACCATACTTTATTGTGGATCTCTCCCCCTCTTTTTAAAAACAATGGATCCACCACTTCAAGATCAAATGTTCAGCCATTAGGGAATATGCCCCTGAGACTGAAATATATGTGAGTCAAGCAGGAACATATATATTGACGGGACTTGACACTACCTAATTGTAGCCGATTTTAACGTCGGGTCATAGGTAATAAAGATACGATACGGAAACGGACATGTGTTAAAAACGTACTCGGTATTATCCTAATAATTTCTGAAAATATCAATAAAATGTCATTCAAACTAGTTTTACAGTGATTCCAGTGTATCAAACTTGTATTCTGTCACTTCAAATTTGTTATAATCGCATTCATTTTATCACAGAATGGTACAGAATGCAAACAAGGTAATAAGAAAATGGCGCCGATTGCCTTCCCAAATTTAAAAACATTATAAAACACTTCACATCAAATAAATTACACTTATTTTGGTCATTTTATATGACAAAACGTTTCTACTTTATGATAAAACTTGTATTTATTTACGATTGAATTATGTGGTTAATTTATTGAACAGTTCCGATAGTTTTTCAGTCAGACGCCACCAAAATCCATAAATCTCGCGAAGTCTCATGGAGTCTGAGATTTTATCAATTTTATACTGAAAAGCCTATCAGATTCATTTCCAGTTAGATATACTATTCCCAGAGTAAAGTAAACCTGAAAACATTTTTGTGTGCAACTTATCTTTGTTGCTTACAATGAAAAATGATGTTAAAATTCTTATTTTATCATAAATATAAACCATACGTGACATAGCATAGCAATGAAAACCTCAAATTAAAAATGACAGAAGAAAATTGTCAATAGTATTAAATATTTGTTGATTTTCTATAAGAAAAAAACTAACCCAATCAAAATCAATCAACACTGCAAAAGAATCATTAACTTTTCTGAAATATTCATACCATGTGCAAGATTAACCATGTATAAATGTCAAATACTGCACTTATTTTAATAATTATCTGTCTATGAACTATTATACAGATTTTAAAAAGGGGACATAATCCTTTATGACAAAAAAGAAGAAATATTTGTTTGAACAAATAGAGTTACCTCCCTGTATAGTGTTTTATTATCATTTTTGTATAAAGCTTATTTTTCATTGTAATTAGGCTGTAATGATATTATTTGAAGTAAACTATACAATATTTAAAAAAATATTAATAATAAGTACTTCCATATTAATGTATTTACTATAAATATGTGCATTCCGTTTTTCAAGATTTGCCCTTCTATGAACTCATTATTAATTTTTGTTTGTCGATTAATTGTACCTTGGAAAGTCAGATGAAGAACAGCAATTAAAGCTGTATTCTTTTGAAATATCCTCTCTCAATGCTAGGAGAGGTGACAAGTATACTTAAATATAAAGGTGAAGGGTGGAAGATGATGTGTAGTGTTGATCTAGAAGAAACACAGGTTATTGCATACATGTACCCAAATAACTGTCCCAGTAAATATTTTGGAATTTTAACGTTTTGACCATAATTAGGCAAATGTAATTTAAACATGGGAAGTTCAGTTGTGAAAGGTTTCTGGTTTATGCAGGATTTGGTTCAAACAGGTATATTGTATTAAATATTAAGCTTTATACTTTGGTTTTATTATTGTTGGTATGTAGAGACCTAGAATAAAAAGTCAAATAACAAAAATACAAAACTCCAAGGAAAAAATTCAAATCAGAAAGTCCTGTATGAAATGGCAAAATCAAAAGCTCAAACACCACAAAATAATGAAAAACAACTGTCATATTCCTGACTTGGTACAGGCATTTCCTTATGTGGAGAATGACATTTCCTTTAACTGATTTATACTACCGGTATATGTACTACTATATCTACAAATTTTGATCATAGATTAGAAAGGCAAAAGAAACAAGCCATTGTAAGAACTTCTCAACATAAAATGGAGGAAGAACTGGAAGAATGGAGAGAAAATGTAATAAACAAAAGAAAAGTGGTAAGATCTTACTTATCACTAGTCCTGTTTACCCAATAGAACAGTATTTATCTAGGGCAATTTGTGAATTAATTAAAATGACAGATTTTGATAAATTTTATATCATTGGTTTACATCAACAATATTCACTGGTGTCAACGTGATGATCGTAACTGCAATTACGATCATCCCAATATGGCGGACACAAATTTAGGGAAATTTTATAAGGCCGATTTCTCCATTTTAACAGCTTATTTTCAGATTCGCATTATGTCAGGAAACAAATTTATAAGTATTGCCATCAAAGGTTTTTTCCTTCATGATGGAAAAGCAACAAGAAGATCGAAAATTGAGATACAAAAAAACACGATGATGATCGTAACTTTTATTTATTTTTATCAACGATGATAGTAATTTTTACTTAAGATGATCGTAACTGTCTGTTCCAACGAAGCATTTTCTTATAAATAGAGCTGTATGGTATGCGAAAAAGTGTACATAATCATCTTATATAGTGATAATAATGAGAGACGATTACTGTAGGGGAGGGCAACATCCTATTGATTGGTATACGTGTAAGTGCACAATAATGGTTATGATTTTGCGAGATTTCATACTTTTTTTTTATCTAGTTCTATATTAAATTGCATTGGGGTAAATAACTTTATAATGATTTCATATATCTTATATAATTAAGGTATTGGAGATTTCATATTAATGACCAGTTTGGTAAAATTTAAGATTTTTTTCAATGGAACACTTTGTAGGAATGATATTACCTTTCGAGAACCTGATATTTTTAGGGGAAGATATAGGATTAAGAAGTGTAGCCATATCTGTTGAATGCAAAAAAGATTGAAAGCACCAATAAAATAGAGGTTGGAAAATATAGCATTAAGAAGTGTAACCATATCTGTTGAATGAAAAAGAAATTGAAACCTTCGATAAAATAATTCATTGATATTTTTGGCTAAAACAACTTCTTTCGACTTACTACAATAACACGTGTCATATAACAGTAAGTGTAAGGATTTAAAGTTTGATAAACCTGGAAACTAATATGAACGTATATACCATTTATTTCAGCTTTTCCTTCATTACATAAATAGCCTACCCATGGTAAATATAGGCAACAGTGGCGGATCCAGAAATGTTCATAAAGGAGGGGGCACTGACTGCCTAAGAGGGGCCCCGCTCCAGTCATGCTTTAGTGATTCCCTATATAATCATCCAAGTTTTTCCCACAAAAGGGCGGGGACCCTGGCCCTCCCTCTAAATCCGCCTCTGTAGTCTACCAATGTTTAATAGTCATAGTTTGATTAAGAAAATACAAAACCAGGCAACAAGCTAAAACCGAGGTGAACACATCAAAATAATGTAGCTTCATGCCTAACATTACTTATTTCTAAAATATTCAGTGAAAGTTTTGGCCTGCAATCTTAAACTGTATCATGAGGATGAAATTTATATTTACTTCATACAAAAGTATTCCATTTTGAATTTTAACTAAATTACTCATAAGAAAAAAATATTGATGACATTTGCAAATAAGCCTGTCAATTCCCCCTTATGTCATTTCGTTTTGACAAATTGCAGTGCTCATTTTGTTCAGTTTCAAAATCATACTGTTTTCAGTTATACCAATATATCGTGACTTCTAAATAGAATGCTCATTTAAAGAAGAAACACATCGTAAATTGTGAGTTACGATCATCTTTATATAATAACAAGTCTGAGTTACGATCATCCATAGCCGAAGTTACGATCATCATCAAGTTTTTTTGTATAGCGATTTTCCTTCTTCTGGTTGTTTTTCCATCATTTTAGAAAAATACATTCAATGGCAATGCTTATAAAGATTTTTATTGACATAAAACATATCTAAATACAAGCTGTTAAAGTGGAAAAATCGGCCATATAAAATTTCCTTAAATTTGTGACCGCCATATTGGGATGATCGTAATTGCAGTTACGATCATCACGTTGACACCAGTGATATTGCTACCAAGTTTGAAATTCAGTTTTAAGAAAAGCTTTTGTGGGACGTTTGACCCTTAAATATATGAATTATGTGAAATATTGCCTTGTAAGCACTCTAATGGTTACAAAATGAAGATGATCATAATGGTCTAACTCTTAATGATCTTTTTTTGTAAATAAACTGGAATTATGCCCCAGATTTATACGGTTTAGCTTGATTAATAGATGTTTAATTGTAGAAACTTCATCTCTCTGCATTAATCAAATAATATTTTGTGCATAATTTGTCCATTAACTTAAAAATGCCATGTGGAAATAAGAGTGCTGTCCTTTATATCTATCAGACTATAATATTAAAAGAAGTTAACTGAAATTTGTATTAAACTTGTGCATTTCACCAGTCTATAATGTCCATTTTAAATTATCATCCTGAATATGCATGAAATACTTTACACTGGACATTAAGCAATAAACAAATCAATCAAAGCTTTCAAATGATAACCTTTGTACCTCTGTAGTTGATGCTGTCTGCTCAGGTAAGTATTTCAGTTTGGCTATACAAGTATTTTCATTACTCTTGTTGAAATACTTTTCCCTTATTTTCTAATCACACAAAAAGCAAACATTTCAAATCATCAAAACTTCCATATTCTGAAAATTCACTTTCTAATGACACTGACCTTTTAAATGTTTAACCTGTTTATTTTTTATTGAGATAACAAAAATCAACCAAAGATAGTATATAAGATTGGTTCCCTCATTTGCAGTTCTTGTATAGTAAACAAAAAAGCTAGACTTATTTAGAACAAAAATTGGAATCCTGTTTTTGTTTTTTTTTATTCTTCTTAGAATTGTTTCTTGTTTTGTATTTATGACATTATATCGAGACAACTACACCCATCAGAATCTGTCAATTTGGATTAAACAGCTGTATTATTTGATATTATTATTTTTTAATGTTTTACTGTGCTAAAAATAAATCTGCATATCCCATTCTGCAACATCCATATACTACACAGGTAATGATGTCTTGTCTACATTTTAACAAAAGGATGTACGCTAATGACCACTTACATAAATCCTTCACAATCAATACAAATTACTACTTGTTGTAAATCATACAACATTTTGTGAAATGCATGACTTGGTATCTGCTTTTCGTAAGAGTTCATTTTGGTGTCCACTCAGGGTTCTAGCAATGTCATTGATTTTTAGCAACTAATTTCCCTCTTTTCACCCAGAAAATGTATAAAATTTATCACCCATCTTAGAAGATTTTATTATATAGTATAATAATGTTTGACATTTTATTTAATAAAAAGTTTATAAAACATCTGATGTTTATAATAATCAAAATTAAGTTTAACAATAGAGCAAATACTCTCACCCAATTTATCTTTTTCATATAGTAAGCAATTTATATTTTAATCATTTATTATTCTGTATAGGAATGCTTTCCCTACTTTAATCCCTAGTAAACATATTACTTTAAACATAAATTAGAAAAATTAGAATATACCAGTAATTAAGTGAAAATAGCACATTTATTATAAACTTTGGTTTCTATAAAAACTAATACACATCCAACCTGTATAAAGAAGCTCATGACTTTAATAAGCTGTTACCGTACCTTAACTCATCTTATTTTTTTTGTAGACTGAGAGACAAGCTAGTGAAAATGCCATCAAAACGATAGAACATAAAGCATTAAAGGCCCATGATGATCGTGTGAACAGAGAGAAAATACAACAAAGAAACATACAAAAGTAACATTGTTTTATTCCTATTTTATTTATATCTTGCCTGTAATATATGTCAGTATTTCAAGTTAAGTATTCAAATGACAGTCCATTGAAAAATAATTATTTGTTATTATTTCTCCATGTTGTACGTCCGTTACATTTGTTGGAAAAGAAAGGATGGAAGAGGGTTTATAAATAAGATGAAATTCCTAAAGTAAACTAACATACAAAATTCCTGTTCATTACAATGGAAAGCTTTCCTGGATGGGTATTAGAGCTCACATCAAACAGGTAAATTAAAATGGCTCTCGTGTGAAATTGGCTGTTCCTCATCATACGTAGATCTCATTTCAGTTTGAATCCTGGTATCTATGATGAGTTTATTCATAGCATGTGCTATTTTTTTTGTTCAAGTACAAAACTTGTGGAAGAAGATGCTAATTTCAGTGATATGTTTTTTTTTTTACTTATTGAAATATTTCCAAGTATTTAAGATATAAAAGTGGATTGACTGAATATTTTGACATTAGTGTAAATAAAACAATTTATAAACTAAGCTGTGATTCGTGGTACCTGCAGTTTTTATGCCCCACCTAGGGGCATTATGTTTTTTGGTCTGTACGTTCATTCGTCCGTCCGTCCGTTCTTCCGTCTGTCCCGCTTCAGGTTAAAGTTTTTGGTCAAGGTAGTTTTTGATGAAGTTGAAGTCCAATCAACTCAAAACTTAGTACACATGTTCCCTATGATATGATCTTTCTAATTTTAATGCCAAATTAGAGTTTTGACCCCAATTTCACGGTCCACTGAACATAGAAAATGATAGTGCGAGTGGGGCATCCGTGTACTAAGGACACATTCTTGTTTTATATTACATCACTAGAGGCATTAATTTACATTAATGCCCCTTAAAAATAGTTTTCCTGTTATTCACTGGTATATTGTCAAAGAAACTAGCAATACATTTTAATGAAATTCAAGATGAAACTTCACTATGCTCATACAAACATAAAAAATGTCTTAATAATGCGTAAATGAAATAAATAGCAATGTGGGATGAGAAATTGCACTGATCAGTTTAATGATAAATAATGCAAAATCTGTAAAGCATGGTCGCAGAAGCTCTGAATAAATGGTAGGAAATCCACCCAGTACAAATACAAATATTTTCAATTAGAAAGCGATAGTTCTATGAAATTACACATTATAAATGCAAAATATATGCAACTATTCTGATCAGTGAATTTCTCTCAACGAAAGAAAGGAGTGAAATCAAAAGATTTATATGTGATAACACTGAATTACTGAAGGTGTGTGCAAATATTTATATGCCAAAATTAAAAATTGAATATATATACAGTATCAATGATGAATTTAAATTTTACAGGATACAGGATGAAGTTGAAGCCTGGAAACAGGAGACAGAGGATTATATAGCTGTTAAAGATCGGAAAATACTGACAGCACAACAAGAAAAAGATACCACTATATTACAGGTAAAATAGAAAAGTAGACAGATATCAGAACTTACAGATGTCAATACATTACAGTTAAGATAGAAACGATGTCGACAGCTTATTATGAAATTGCATACAGCTGTTACAACCTTATTCACCACACACCCTCTAGTGACCAGCAGCAATAATACCAGTATCATTATTATCTTTCATTGCATTCAAAAGTTCTGAGTCAGACTTTAGTTATTTGAACCTATGTTAGTGACCTTGCAGATAGACATTAGAACCTTATTCAAAACACTCCCTTTAAAGTTGGGCAACAATAATGCTAAATAACTATGTATCATTTCTGGTAATATCCCTCAATGCATAAGAAAAAATCTGAATCTGACATGACTTGGTATAATGAATGACGATGATGGTGATGAATTGGTGTTTAACATCCAGTGGCAAATTTTACATGCACATCAGGACACAGCATCTTTGTTATAAATGTGATATATTTATCTACTCTGCTTTATATTAGACCAACTCTCTACGTTGGGTGAGATTTTTAACATAATTGGATGACAAAGTAACATTCTGCTAGAAGACATGTCACCCAACATGGACACATTATTCTGCCTTCGAGCTGACCAGTCTTTGCCCTTACTCATGAGAGAGGCCTGCTGAGTGCAGATGCAGCAATTACCAATTTTCATGTGCAGTTTGACGTGGCCAGTGATGGATCCAACAACAACTGCACTTGATGATGGATGGCTGTTAAATGTCCAACGCATATTCAAGACGAGAATAAGATGTGATATGAATATAAACCCTGCTTTGTACTAGACCAAGGCATTCAAAATTACAGAACAGAACATTGCTTACATCTACATAAACTTTGGTGGATAGTTGTCTCATTGGCAATCATACCACATCTACTTATGTTTGTATAACTTGCACATACAAACAAAACAGACAGAGTGATTCCTTTATACCATACAGTTTTAATGTAAAGCTTATCAGGCACATACAATTCAGCTCTACTTTACCAGGAGTACAGCTAGTATTGAGAATAATGTTATTAAACGGAAATTTGGGCATGAAAATAATGACAGGATTAATTCAAGTTCAATTACCGGTATACCTATATAGATAAGCCTTTTTTTAAGAGGTGAAGGGTTGTTGTTTATCTAAGCTTGGGGCTGTCTGAAAACTATTACAAGGTAGGAGAAGGGTAAACTTTATTTCATGACATATTATATTTTATTTTTTTCAGTCACGGTTTGTAGCAAGCCAGTCATCACAATTAAGAGATGAACTGAAAGAAAGATATGGAGGAGAAAGCTTTGACAAGAAATTATTACGGGCAGAACTATTTAATAAATTAGGTTTAGCTTATACTAAACCATCAACAACATCTAAGTCATGTAAAAAACGATAGTGTAATAGTAGTTAGGTTATTGAAATTAGATAATAAGCACAGATCTTGATTTGATTATAAGAAAGGTTTTCATGTGAAAGTTATAGGTATGTCTATTAAAAGCAATGATTGGTGAAGTGACAGTTTTTCTCACAGAAAACATTTGTTGTTTGAAGGTGAAGTAGATGTATAGATTTGTTATTTTACAACATCAGACCTTATAAGTCAGAGATAATGGTTTTTAATTTGTTTTAGTTACCCTATGAAGTAATTATTAAAACTTGCAGTGTTTTTTAGTTGTCAGCAGAAGAATAGTATTCACATTGGGACTAAGCATACTAGAATTTCAATGTTTATAAGACTTAATTGAAGGTTGTTACAAAACAAAACAAAAGTTATTTACTTAATTATGCAGAAAATGTATATGGAGAAGTGAGTATACTAGTAAAATTCTGTTTCATGTACATGCTCATAATTAAATAAGTGAGTGTATAGGTAGTTTAACCCCTTCAAGTCCTTCAGTTTACAAACCTATCATACCACATCTTATTTTTATACTAATTCAATGTCACTTTTAACAGTCAGATTAGTGACTCACATCTTCTGGATTTGGAAAAAGAATTCATTTTAACTGTTTTTCAAGGTTTTAAAAAATCCTTTTTTCAAGAGAAAATGTGAATGGATCATCTAATAGCATTTTCTCGTATAAATTAATACCCATATTATTTGTAAGGGAAGAGTTTGCACAGCAAAAACAATTGTCATTTTTTGTGATTAAGATTTTATCAGGGACCAACGAAAGAAATGTAATGCATAAGTCAGGTTTGGAACATTAGACAAGTCATGAGGATTTCTTATTTGTTGTTTTTTGACATTGAATAGGTCAATATTGCATGCTTGATTACAGAAATAATCAAATCACATAAACATTAATGTGGTATTGCAAACTTCCACATCAACAAAAATTCGTCAAACATTAGATATCAATTTTAATTCTATGTATTAAAATGTATCAATTCTTTAATGTGTTTGGATACATTTTTTTTTTATTTACTTTGCCTTTGATGTGTGATATGTTAACAACGAAAGCTACATCTTTTTCCACATACAATGTACAATTGTACATTAAAGTTTTCAATTAATAGCGTAGTAGAGAAAAGCAAATGTTGAAAGAGATATGTATTGAAATGATTGCGATTTTTCTCTCTCTTTTGAAAATTTTACTCACTTAAGGGACCTGAATCTACACTTTTTGCTAGTTTGAAATTTGTTTGGCATTATAAATTGTTTTCTTTTATTTTTAAAGATATAAAAATCTGTTCTTCAGATAAATTTTTAGTGTATATTAGATCTTTGTCAAATGTATGTCTTTCTTTTTATATTTTATGATCTTGCATTTATTTGTACATAAGTTGTAGGGAGTACCAGTATAGTATATTTATTTATTTATTATAATTTAGTATCTTTTCAGTCTTATTAATATTTTCTGTGATATACTGATAATTTTTAAAAGTTAGTTTGTAGTGTGATGGTAGTAATTTTCACACACAGATGCAAAATATACAATGTGTAAATCAGGTGTTGTCAATTTTATGTAAAACACAATAAATCAATGAAAATTGAAAATGATTAACATTAGTTGCAACATGAATTTAGTGGTATTAATGGAAAATTGTAATTGTACTGTCAGTAATAATCTTGTCAAATATTTTATACTTTGTATATTTTTTTTTTTTTTTGGTCAAAGAAATAAATTTTACATATTGGACAAACTATTTCTAGTAAGAACATATAACAAGAGCATGACTGTGATATTTTTGAAAATCAATACTTGTTGTAGGGTAGCTATCTTGTCAAATTTTATAGTATAACTTATATATTCATAAAATGAATAAAATGTAGTACAAGCATATTTGATTTTACTTGTATCATGTTAATTATGAAGTAAATTGGAATATAGTGCAATGAAACAATAGTCATTCTCTTTTTCGAGTACATACAGAAATCTTCCGTTCTCATACAGGATATTGAAACACATCAAAGTAAGGATAACAAATCTGTAGAAAAGGTGCAAATGTGAGCCAAACATTATCCTATATTTTCAGGAGAATATTCATTTCATGTGCTGAGTTAAATGTAAACTGTTTTTAAGAGTTATGCCCCTTGGAAATATAAACTCTATAGAAAACTGCCTTGTAAGCCATCTCTAGTGAACCATTCCATTTTGAAGACCGTACTGTGATCCTATGTAATAAATATAGTAATCCTATTACTCATGTGAAGTGAGAATTCCATTTGACCAAAAAAATAACTTTTTTTCAAGCAGTCACTGAACTGCAAAAATGAGGTCAAGTACAATGGACATGATAGACAGAAACCTGTAACATAAGGTATCTGCAAAGAAGGACTTATAATCTTACATATATAGAATAAAATAAAATTAATACCTCTGGTTTACATTCAGAATCAAAAGATGCATGTTCTATTACATTGGCATTTGCAATTTTAGGTCATTAAACCATTTTAGCTTTGAACTATTGCCCTCCACAAATTTTTATTTACGCTTTACAAATTGATTATGAAATCTCTTGTTGGAACTGCAAATTGTTGATCAGGGGTTCCTGACTTCTGAATGGAATTTGACAGTGAGAAAAACGACCCTGATTTTTAAGTCCTAACAAAATAACGTAAATAGCGAGAAAACAACTTTAGAACCTTTGGACAATGGAAAAAGACTTTTACGTTAACAGGATAGCTGAATTGTATTCGTCTTTGACTAAGAGGAGCCAGAGCCAGGCTTGACATTGGAATTGTTACTAATGACAATTAATGAATACATTAGTTATTCTATGATGAAATTAATAAACAATATATTTTATCAATATTCCTAACAATAAAATGGAGGAATGAAATAATTTCAATCAAGATATGCAGGGTTTTGGCCTGGTGAAGTTCCTCTATGGTTAATTTTTCATCCATGGAGATCACTAAAGGTATGAAGCATCAAGGTCTTCTACCTTCTGAAATATAAAGCTTTAAACTAATAGTTTATGCCATTGCCAAATAGCAATCTGGATCTCTAGCATCCTGCCACTGAGATGATGTCTTCTCAATAATACATACTTTAAAAAGTTCACATCATAATTAACTAAGCTTCAAGTTGAGATAACTTCAGAGTAAAGTTCCTCAAAACCAAATATATATTATATGTTATTAATCATTTAGAACAAAAGGGATGATTTCAGCTTCCTAATTGTGAACTTTCCATTTCTGTGTAGAAACATTCCAGCAGCACCTGCATATCTATACTACTAAAATACCCAGGTCCAATTTGTAAGCCAGCATGATGTAAAAACGACAAATCAAAGAATTCAACTTTATATATAACTAATTTAGACAATGGTGTTGATTAAAAATTACACCATTCCAGGCCCTTTTGTTTTCCACATAATTAATATTACCAATAATTAACAAGTTCAGGGTCGAATCCGATACCGATGCCAATAGTATATGTCACATGTAGTTTCTGGTTGTAGTTCTTCTTTATTCTTCCCTCCACTATTTGGAGTACCACTACTATATTGTAGTGCGAAAACCATGACGGGTTCAAACAGAAAGATTTTGAAAGCAGAAAAAACTGTCCACCTTATAATCAGCATGACATTATCAAATGACAATACGAATGATAAAAATCCAGGCTAAAAATAAGGCGTAGGTACTTTAATTCAGTCACAGACTAGCAACATGTCCCGGGTGTGTTCTAGTGGAGTATATATCTCCCAGTTGATACAATGTGCCAGGGCTTGTGTTTTCCTTCATGATTTCCTTGATAGATGGTTGCTGCTTACAAGGAAGCTATCAAACCAAGAGTTATAAGTGGTGAAGTTGAAATCATCCCTTTGAATATTTTGTGGACACCAACACGCGTTGGTTGACCCGGTGGAATATCTGTTTCACAGATGACGACTGATATGTTCCAATCATCACAACCACAATCCTGTCCTCCTTTTCCTCAGATGTGACCTACCAAATTATGTGTATTTACATGAGCAGCATGACAGGTACCACATGTGGAGCAGGGTCTGCTTACCTTTCCAGAGCACCTGAGATCACTCCTGGTTTTTGGTGGTGTTCATGGTGCTCAGTATCTAGTTTTCTATGTTTTGTTTTGTATATTGTTGTTTGTCTTTTGGTCTTTTTCTTTTTTTGCCATGGTGTTGTTGATTTGTTTTTAACTTTGAGGGTTTGAATATCCCTTTGGTATCTTTCGCCTCTCTTAGAAAATATTCTTTCTACAAGAGTGTTGTAAAATTTGCAACTAGTGGCTGTATGGCACATGTATTTGCATATACACTAAAACTCCACATTATCGAGCTGCAAACCAAAATACAATCATTCCTTTCCATAGAAGCCATTAAAAGTGTGACGAAAATATTTGTAGGACGAACAGATTGACAAGATGATTGCAATATACCACCACTCCTTGAGTGGGGCTATAATTAGTACAATTTTTACCAATATTCCTATTCTAGACCAGTAATATCCAGAATCTGTCAATATCACGAAACTTATTTTTCCCTGCAGTTTATATCAATAACAGAGGCGGATTTAGAGGGTTTTTCAGGGGGCCCGGGCCCCCCCTTTTGTGGGAAAATTTTTGTTGATTATATAGGGAATCACTGAAGCATGACTGGAGCTGGCCCCCTCTTAGGCATCAGTGGGCCCCCCTTATGAAAATTTCTGGATCCGCCACTGAATAATCAATATTTACTGGAAGCATTTATACCTCGAAATATTCTATAACATTCAACTACATTTATTCCAATGAAGGACCATGTTGTAAAAGGAATGCCACTTTTAAGCTGTGCAATGAATTAATAAATAAAAGAGTTATTTTTTCTACTTTTATTGTCACAGAGCAAATGTCACAAACACCCTGTTACATCTAAAGCAGTAAGCTGGTTTTTTGTTGAATATTTACTATTTATGGCCTTTAACCTTAACAAAGTGTAAACATGTATATTATATAAGACAAAATGACAAAACTTGATATTTTGAATATTGAAAAAATGAGGATTCTGCCCACATAAAACTGACTATCCAGCTTTTTTATCTGCTTTCTATTTACCCATGAAAGCCCTTTAATATTTAAAAAGCAAATTTAAACAGATCAATTAAAAACTATCATATACACAAATTCATTCAAAAGCCTTTCACCAACTAACTACTTCAAAAACTGAACACAATAAGCATATGAAAGATTTGTTCTTGTATCACAGATTGTGTATGTTCCATCAAAATCTGCTTATGTCACACAAATTATCCCTACAATTATCTATTGACAAAGTCTACAGAGATCTAGTACAGACAGTATAAATACTAATTACATATATGTCAATATGAAGGAAAAGTTACCATGAATAATAATCATGAAAGTAACACTGGCACCAAACATATGGAGAAAATGATTCAGATATTTAAAAAAAATATAATGAATTAGGTATGCTTTCATAATTAACCATTGTTGCATATAAAATGCCCACATTCCATTATACAAGTTATTTTAATACATAAGTGTATGCCAGAGTCTTGAGACCATGTTGAGACAGGCTTTGTTCTGGATTTTTATCTTTAGGTGAGGAACTGAGAATTTAAATACATGTATATATACAGTATAACAAAGTCTATAATGATGAACAATTGTTGTTGTACACTTTATAGCTGTGTTATTTCACAACAATTTTTTAGCGGGAGAATTAAAAATTATACTGAGTCTATCATCAAAATGAGAACTTGATTTAAAAAAGTTTTTAATATTTCACCTGCTATTTAGTCTAAAATGTAAATATCGTGAAACCAGTATGTTTGATCAGTAAAAAATCTTTTTTAATAAATTGTTTTGTAAAACTGGATAATTTTTTTTACTCAATTGTCAACAACCCACTTTTCATTTTTGTTTTACAATTCTTACAATATTTCTTTATCAACCAAACCTTTTATCTTTAATTTCTAGTCTACAACATCAATACAAAATGACCCACCATACTGACAAAAAAGTTATACTCTATTACTTAAAATACATGCCAGAGAATAATAAATATATTAAATATGTACACTAAATACACTCAATATATATAGATATGATGGTACCTGTACAAAGTCTCCACTACACTGTAATGACACTATTTAAAACACTATAATTAGTACAACATACAATTTGATTAACTAATAATTTATTTGTGTTAAAACTGGTTCATATTGCACATTTATTTACTAATGTTCCATTTCTGTGTTTTGGTCTATGCAGTTTTTGCCAAACATATGCTCACTTTTTATGTCTTCCTGAATATTAAACATTTGAGTTTCACAATTATTCCATTCTAATCACTTCCTGAAAATAAACTTTCCAATCAAACATCAACCCCTTAAATTGATATCCTTTCCTAACAAAAGTGCTTCTAATTGGAATGTTTTCCTCTCAATAACAATGCAATCAACTTGCAATAGTTATGCATTAGCAGTACTCCTACTGAAAGAATATTAAAAGGGTGAAATCATTCTAATATCGAAAAAGAAGAATACAAATACTCTTCAACAATCTCTGATCAAAGCACATACATTAGTGGAATTCTCATGAAAGGTTAAGTTTTTGAGCTTAGAATAGAAAACATCTCCATGTTAACCTACTTTCACTTCTGAAAGTGAAACAAAGAGCACATTGTTTTCTTTTATCATTTCTACATCTATTATAAAGAAAATGTCTCTATTGTCCACCTACATTCTAAAGAATGTGTGACTGAGAACTTATTTTCTTCATCCTACTGACAGATCCTACAGACCCTCTGTTCTAGTTTTAGTTAAGACAATAGGAACATTACTAGACCTAATGATCATATATTGTCTGTTTCTAGTATGCTAATTAATTTCATATAAATGTTAATTTATAACTGTTCAATTATTATAAACACTAGTATACAACCATTTTAAAACAAAATCACAAGAATATGGTTTAATTAAAACATGTGGCAGTCTATGAGGCTTTAGGTAGAAGTACTCAACATTAAATAACAGTATGCTCTTTAAAAGAGAAATTCAATCAGACTTTCATCCTCTTTATCTAGCATTTATTGCCATGCATGTTTTTTTCTGCTTCATTAAAAAGTATTTATCAACTACTAATATTTTTAGGCCTATTTTTTTTTTTTGACAATAATGATGTAATATAAATGCAATGAAATATAAAAAATAAGTTTCCCTATACAGTTCAAATTCAAATTAACCACACATATTTTACTTTTCTTTACTAATAATTGTACTAGTGTGATATCAATCAACCCAACCCTTCCATTTATAGTAAGCAACTCCAGGAAAAACATCTACAACTGTAAATATTTAGCAAATTCCAATTTTTTAATAAAATATGGGTGACCTTAACATTAAGTTATTACTTTAAACCCCTTTTTTATATGCAGTAATGTCAATAAATATCCCCAAATTTGATTTGGTTGATACATACTGGAAAAGTGTCCAATCTATGTCTATAAAACATTTAGTGCATATTTGTCAAACATCAAATGTTAATAAATAGTCTTAAAACAGCATGATGACATTATAAAGCTCCAATGACACAGAAAAGCTTTGGAATGCTTCGCCCACTGTATGCACTCAACACATATCTACAAAACAAGAAAATCATTACTTAAAATAATTTGTCATTCACCTAAATCCTTTTATTTTTACTGGAATACAAAATTACCCTTTTATTTAATTTTTTTCAAGATGTGATATCAAACAAAATTATTCAAACAAATCGTCTTCCCATTATGACTCACTAATATCTATAAATTGATTTCTTAATTTCACCTGATATAAGTATGCTGGATTTTACTTGGTGAAGAGCAGGTGTATTTTTCATGATTTTTCATTTATATAATGAATATCTTTCATATTTCATATGGTATTTGCACAAAGATATGTTTTTTACCCTCTCTGCGGTGGTATATGCAAAAAGGTATGTGCCTTATTTACCCTTCACAGACGCTTGAGCATTTGAGCTTATAATAAAATTCAGTTGTTTTTGCTTACATCTTGATAGCGAAAGAATGAAATATAATTGAATGTTTAATTTAACTTTCTTTTATCAACATTCTGTGTAAATAAACAGATATTTCATTTTCAGAAGGGCTATTTGCACGAAATACCCTTCCTGAGAAGGGTTTTAAAGTAAGTTGATGAGTGGTGAAGTTCTGATTTGTAGTTGCAACAAAATTTGTATGAAGAGACAAACAGGGATATAAAAAGACACAAGAAAAGGTGTAATAAATGATAACTCAAGTAGCTACACGTATCAATCTATCATCTTACTTAATTCTGTGGACCATTTATAGCAATTCCTCCACCTCCTCTGATACCAGTGCCTGTGGCTGGAGAACCTCCAGGGTGTTGTCCTGGTCTTATTGGCTTCGCTGAGAAAAATATCAATAAAAATTAATCCCCTCTTCTTTTTCATTCAAATCAATGTTATGAAAATCAAAGAAATTATGGCAAAGCTTAGCGAATGTTTAAATAACTAAATAACTAATAAGTTATTTCATTGTTCTCTATATTTTAAATCCTACCTAACAAGTCATCTTACTTAATATAATATGCATGATTCTATTTCATAAAAAGATTTGAAGTGTCCCAAATTAACTCAAATTTCCCACATTTATTGACCAACATTACAAAAGCTATTATTTTCCTAATTTTTTTTTTTAATTCTATGACTATAAACTGATGTATATATAATGTAGTTAATGACATATTATCTTACCAATCTGTGCAGCATGTCCTCTCCTAGCCAAGTTCTTCTGTCTCACTGCCTCTTTAATCCTATCCACTTCATGCTGATATCTGTAATAAATTGTTTCTCACTTTAAATCTTACGTTGTAAAATTACATTCTATTATTATAGTCATTCTTTATATTTGGTAAAAGCTTTAATGTTGTTTAGCACAGTATTCTGAAACAGTATATTCAGCATCACTACTTGGCAGTTATATTGTGATTGTATGTAATATAGATAAAGATTTCATTATGTGAAAATGTTCTTGTTTATTTCATTAGATTATATGTCATCTTATATTTCAAAATTTGAAAGTCATATTTCAAATCAATGACAATATTTTTCTAGACATTCTGACTTCTTACCTCTTTCTGTCCCTCATAGCTCCTTCTTTAGCCTCCTTCAAAGCTCCTTCTAGGGCCTTCACCCTTTCCATGGTAGCTCTAAGTCTCTTCTCTAACTTAGGCAGTTCACAACGGAGATCAGCATTGTCCCTGACCAACTGTTTATGCACCTTTGTCAGTTGTTCCAGGTTATTTTCTAGGAATGAGATCTTTTGTTTCTGTGCAGCATTCCCTCCAATATCATCATCTTCATCATCATCCTTTTTCATCTGAGACTGTAACAAATCAGATCAGTTTAAATGCAACTACTGATAACTTTAAATGCATGGAAATATTATTTCATTACAATAAACTAGAATCTTGGTTCAATATATTTTGGTGTGTAGTTGTGGTTTTCAAGTATTGCCATACTACTAATGTATAAACAAATCTAATGTATGGTAGGTAAAATGTTATCTGAAAGTATGTAATTTCTATGTTTAGTAAATATTTACCTTTCGAACTCTATTCTGAAGATCTTGTACAAACAATTTTCTAAGGTTATGCAATGTCTGCAATTCTTTAGCCTGTGAAACAACAAATAAATGCATTTGTAAGTTTTATACTATTTTCCAACATGAAAAAATTCAAACATTCATTACTTTAAACTTTTCACCTCCTTTTCATAGCAGGTGATTTTATCATTATAACATGTACATACCAAAATAAGAAATATGTTTGTTGTATAATTGTAATCATTTCGATTAATTTGATAATAATTTGAAATTACTTAACCTTAACACATATTAGATAGTGGTTTAATGTTTTATTTTAAACGGACATGAATCCCTATTGAAGCATCTAGGTAATACATACTGATCATCTGGATACTGTATTATATTTCAATTCTGGAAATACAAACTTTTAACTAAGATTACGTCCGTGAGACACCTAGCCTTGCTTTGCACTATAACAGTTCCAAGTTCAATGATTTGTGAAATCTAGGTCAAAACCATAATTTGGCATATACTTTAAAAAGATAACATCATAATGAACATGTGTACTAAGTTTCAAGTTTATGTGATCATAACTTTATGGTAAAAAAAAACCTGATCTAAAAATTCAACCTGAAATGGAAGAGACTAACAGACTGATGCACAGACTGGAAAACATAATGACCTCTACTATATTTGACAGGGCATAAAAGTAAATCTTGTAGACTCATTGATATCCAAGTGAAGCTAAGAACAACTTACATAAACCTCAGCATAAGATATTTACAAAATATGGATACTTTACTATCTCAAGTTTTGTATCACTAGTTTACCAACCACCAGAACAGCATCCATATTTCTTGTCTCCTACAAGATTTCTAGTAACTAAAACTTGAGAAAGTTCTTATTACATACCACTGTTTCCTCAAGTCCTTTCAGATCCTGTCTAGCTTGTTCTTTACGGTCTATCTGTAGGGTTAATTCATTCAGTTTAGCAGTCTTCTCTGATTCCTCAGCCTTCAGCTTGTCATAGTCTATTTGTAATTTATCCAAAGCAAGAGACAATTTTTGGTTTTGTCTGAAATAAACATTATAATGCTAAAATATTTTTATTATAAATATCTTCTTTCTTCTTTTCATTTCTAGGACATTAAGCAAACAACAATCAATCAATCATATAGCTGTTCTTAAACATGTACCGGTAGTTGCTTATTACATAAGCTAAATAGTGTATCCACCAGTTTTAATCCATTTTGAAACTTTTACTATTTCCTATGATGTTACAACCCATATTCTACTGTTAAAACTTACTGACAGAAGCATGTAGGTCTCGCAAATTCATTTTTTATATAGATAAGTGATGTCAAAAAAATAATTTTGCTTGTTCAATCCATTTTAAAGCTTGTCATTTATATTTAAATATGAGCAAAGGCCTTTCCAATAAAGATATTTTGCTACAAGATGTCTTTTATTATGTTGTTAATGTGGGTAAAAAATCTTTTCGGGTAAGGCTTTAAGTCATATCTAATTTTACCAGCAACTTTGTGTAAAATGTATAATTTTTGGTCAAATATGTTCAATTCCAGCAGGTTTATGATGTCACAGCTGGCGCATCTGTACTAAAATGTCCAGTTACATTATCCTATTTCTTTATCATTAATAATAAAAAAATTTGAATGGAATGAAGAATTCTTCTTTTTTTGTAATTTCAGGGGTCCAAATAATGGCTTTTATCTCCCTTTCATAAAAAATCAGAAAAAACACCCAATTACATTTACTTCACAATAATATGTAATATTAATCAAGGTCTGTTTGACTAAAATTCTATTTATAGAAGTTCCAAATATCATTGTCAGTTGGAATTTTACAAATTGGAATGATCTCATACTGGCTCTCTTAGTGATGTCAGCTTTAAATGGTTATGACCACTGGAAATGTAAATGGTAAAAACTTACTCCTTGAGTTGATCAATGAGAGACTGTTTGTTGTCAATCTCATCCCTAAGTCCAGACAATTGTTTCTGGTGACTTTCTCTATGCACCTCCATTTGTTGTTCCAAAGCTGTTTTCATGTCAGCATCAGATTTCACCTTTTCTTTCTCAGTTATATGGATTTGTTCTGAAGAAAAAAAGTTAAAAATAAATGTGGATAGTGTCCACATGTGGACATAGATGATGCCCCCGCTTGCATATCATATAGTAATAAAGGGACATAACTGAAGATTGGTAAAAGTGACGCTACCCAAATTTGAACTTGATCTGAGTTTTGTGGTAATAAGCATTGTGTGTAAGTCTCATAACATTTGGTCGAGGCTAACTTAAGTAGAGAACAGAAACTAAAAATTCAGCAATTTTTCTATTTGTAAACACGCATAACTCTAGAACGGTTGTGTATAAGTTTTATAACATTTGGTTGAGACAAACTAAAGTTAGAGAACGGAAACGAAAAATTCAGCAATTTTTATGTTTATAAAGGGACATAACACAAGAATGGTAAAAGTGTCTCCACCAAATTTCGTACTTAATCTGTATTATGTAGTAATAAGCATTGTGTATAAGTTTCATAACATTTGGTTGAGGCAAACTAAAGTTAGAAAACGGAAACAAAAAATTTGTACTTGATCTTAGTTTTGTGGTAATGAATATTGTGTATAGGTTTCATAATGTTTGGTTGGGGCAAACTTAAGTTACAGAATGGAAACTAAAAATTTTGCAATCTTTCGATTTATAAAGGGGCATAACTCAATAATGGTTAAAGTGACACTACCCAAATTCAACTTGATCTGTGTTTTATCAGTGGAAGTCAAAATTAAACATTGCATTGTATAAAGCATTGATTGTAGTTGATTCAACTATAATCATGGACAAAGGAAGATAACTCCAATTTCAAAAATTACTTAGAAGAAAATAAAAATTTTGCAATTTTTCCATTTATAAAAGGGCATAACTCTAGAACGGTTAAAGTGACGCCATCAAAATTCAAACTTGATCTGTGTTTTGTGGTAATAAGCATTGTGTATAAGTTTCATAACATTTGGTTGAGGCAAACTTAAGTTGGAGAACGGAAACTAAAAATTTTGCAATTTTTCCATTTATAAAGGGGCATAACTCTAGAACGGTTAAAGTGACGCCACCAAAATTCAAACTTGATCTGTGTTTTGTGGTAATAAGCATTGTGTATAAGTTTCATAACATTTGGTTGAGGCAAACATTAGTTAGAGAACAGAAACTAAAAATTTTGCAATTTTTCCATTTATAAAGGGGCATGACTCTAGAACGGTTAAAGTGACACCACCAAAACTCAAACTTGATCTGTGTTTTGTGGTAATAAGCATTGTGTATAAGTTTCATAACATTTGGTTGAGGCAAACTCAAGTTAGAGAAGGGAAACCAATTTTGGGACGTACGTTTGTACGTACGTACAGACGGACAAGGGTAAAACTTAATGCCCCCACCGCTACGGTGTGGGCATAAAAATGAACAATTGTTTACATGAGCTGATTCAGCCATTTTCAATCAAATTCTCATTATACGTCTTGTTTACAAAATAAGAGTACCTACAATTCCAAAGTAACTGCTAATTTGTTTTTAGTTCCAAACTTTGGTTATAGAAATACAGCCTAAATAATATTTAAATTCACACAATTACCTTGTGCTCTAAGTTTGGCTATTTCTTCATTTAGAGAATCTACATTCTCCTGCAATAGTCTTTTCTTTTGGTCAATATCTTTGATGGTCTCATTTAGAGATGACATCTTAGCTTCATGCTGAAACAGACATTATGAAATAAATATCACAGAATCTTAAGTCAATTTTTTTTTTTCGATTCCAATATTTTATGTAGTTATTTCATTTTAGCTTATTATTTGAAACATTTCATCTTTTTTCCATTCAAAACACATTATTAGTATAAAATATTTCATGATTGCCTTGAAAAATGATATTCTTTCCCATATTCTTTACGAACAAAGAACTGTGAATAAAATGAGATGCTGGCCATACATCAATGAGACAGAAACCCACCAACACAAAAAAACAAAACAAAAAGACAACTAATGGTGACATATATCTAAATATAATTACAAATGAATCAATCTCAATATAAATTGGTGGTTCTGTTTTACACTAAGAGGAAAGTTTCAGATATTTTACCGTTTATTTGATTAAAATATAGCATTTATAATTCAGACTTTAATAAAAAAATGAAATGAAATGATAAAATAACCAATTGCATTTCAGAAAAGTTACCATGTATTAATTCAAATTGGTCAAAAATGACTCAATGCATAAACCACAAATGACTATAAACTATATATCATTGAGATGGGAGCCATCTCTGTGGGCCCCGCTGTGAATAATGTGTGGTAAAAAATTTGTATCTTTATAATTGGACATGGGGTTGTCAACTGAAACCAAAGTTTTTGACCTTGACCTTTGACCTAGGAAGTTGTACATAAATTATGACACACCCTCTGGTGTTGGTTTATATACATGTCAAGTATAAATTTTGAAATCATAACGGTTCTCAAGATATAGAGTGGACACGATCTTTACCATAGGACATGGGGTTGTCAACTAAAACCAAAGTTTTTGACCTTGACCTTTGACCTAGGAAGTTGTACATACATTATGACACACCCTCTGATGTTGGTTAATATACATGTCAAGTATAAACTTTGAAATCATAATGGTTCTCTAGATATAGAGCGGACACAATTTGTTACTGACGGACAGACTGATCACTATAGGGCGTCTGCCATTCCGCGGGGCCCTAATTATTGATCTAAGGCTTTGCAAAACTATTTTCAAAGAACCTAAATGTCGATGATGCCAAAGACAAATTGAGAATCACTATGTCTTGCTTCTGCGACAAAATATTGCTGGCTCGACAAACATTGCCACTCTAATATTGAAATACGAGGACTTTCCTCTAAGGTGATTAAATAATTTAGCATACTCACCTGTTGTATAGTGAGTTGACAGTCTGACAGTTCTTTTACAGCTGTTTCTAATTTCTTGTTGACCTCAGTACTGCTGGTCTCAAAGTTCTGTGATCTTGTGACTAATGATTTAACTTCAGACTTCATCCTACTAATGTATAACCTTGCTACGGTAAACTCTTCTTCTAACTTCTCAGATGTTCCTAATAATGACTGAAAAACAGATAAAAACTTAAAGCTACACTGATTTTTTTTAATTCAGTCTATCCTGGTCCTAATAATGGCTGAAAGACAGATAAAACTATACAGATTTATTTACCTCAATCTATCCTGGTCTTAACAAGCATTCTAAGAGTATTGCATGGCAATACATAGTCCCCTTCCAGTTAAAAATTCATTGTACTGGAACAAAATGCTAAGTTGATCTATAACTTGTCATGGTGTAAACTATATAACAAATATCAAGTCAATATCTTCAAGCATGACGAAAAAAAGTGTGGAAAATTGATTATATAAGTGAATATTCGAAGTCCAAGGAGCATAACTCTGCACAAATCATCAGACCGGAACAAAATTAGAACTTGATCTGTAACTTGTCATGATAAAACTATATACCAATTATCAAATCAATATCTTCAAGCATGACGAAAATGAGGAAAACTGATTATTTGAGTGAATTTTCAAAGTCCAAGGACCATAACTCTGCACAAAATCATCAGACAGGAACAAAATTCGAACTTGATCTGTAACTTGTCATAATAAAACAATACACCAAATATCAAATCAATATCTTCAAGCATGAAGAAAAAAAATGGGGTGGAAAACTGATTTGCCGGACGGACAGACAGATAGACAGACGGACGGATGGAGTGCAAACCTAAAGTCCCCTTCAACTTAGTCGGTAGGGGACTAATAATAAATGAAAAAACAGATAAAAAGCTATACACATATATACTGATCTATCCTTGTCCATACAATGACCAAAAGATGGATATAACTATAAAGATTTATTCAATCTGATCTGTAATAGTCTTCTAAATTTTTACAAATACTTTTAATTCAGAAATTAATGCGATATTTTTATTTTTGCGAAAACTTGTGACAGGGTATTTTAGATAGCATTATGAGTGTTACATCCAGCATTTCCTGACATCACAATAATTAAACTTGCATTTGTGTCCATTTTGGTTTTACAATTGCAAATTATAAATGCACACAGAAACATCTAAATTCACAGTAACTTTTTTAATTGTTGAAACATAACCTATTTTTCCATTTCTATGTCTTTACATGATCAAAGTCTGCATAACCAAAATTGCATGGCTATTTGATTTTGTACCCTGCCTAATCCATATATAAAACTTCTGAAAATCAAGATAAATTCATATTTTAAAGGCTTAAAACATTCTAGTTTATACCTTAGAATCACCTCCTCCTACAATCTCTCCAATATCTCCAAGATCTTTCAACAATCCAGACATCATGTCAGCCACACGTTTCTTCTGATGAAGTACAGAATCCTTGGCAGAATCATAGTCTGACTGTAGGGCATTCAAGGAATTCTGTAGGTTTAACAAAACAGCATATATAAAACTGGTATTAAGCTATAACAACACTTTTAAATGTAAGATATCATTCTGATTATTCAGCAACATGACAATTTTAAATTCCAGACATTGCATGAAAATATGCATGTCTATAACATGATGAGTGTAACATCTGCTGAATGGTTGAAAATGCTGTAATGGACTCTTTCTTTAAAATGTCAATATCTGTGGAACCACATTGAGGAAAAAAGAAATGTTGTTACAAGACATAAAATATTTTATCGTCATGCAATCATGGTTAGATAAGAAAACTGTGATAATTTGGCTATACTGATTAACACTTACTGTTTTCTTGCTCAATTCTTCAGCTAGTGCTTCATTCTCTATGTTTTTAGCATCAACTTCTTGTGATTTCTGATCATAATTCATAGCAAGTTCTTCCAAAGCTTGGAGCACTTCTTTCACCTCATCCTTAGCAGACTCATTATCAGTCTGGATACGGGCCATCTCCTGTTGTAGTACATCATAGTCTTTCTTTCCTGAGCTGATTAGTTCTTCCTGTTCCATCATTTGTTCCTTCAGTCTCTCTATCATTTGAGACGTGTTGTTGATTTCATCATCCTAAAAGAAATATATCTAATGTTGGCTTCATTAAAAAAATATATATCAGTATAGATCATTTGTTCTCTTCTTACAAAGTCCACTGAATATAAATATGCTACCTTAATCGGGCTTGTATAGTTCGCACTGGTACATAGTCCGCACCCCCTTCTCCCCACGAAATTTTTGGTAAAAAAACTTTTTGTAACTGTTAGAAAAGGTCTAATGAAACTCCAGTATTTTCAAATCGTGTGTGCTGGTATGCGGTATTTTCTTGGAAAAACTTATTTTCCATCAACAAACAGAAGCTGAAACTGCTTGTAAATGATTCTAAAAGCCTTCACGGTTGTTAAAATAAGTCTAAATCACATTTAGAAACTTGTTTATGTTTAAACCGGAAGTTTGAAAAGCATGTGTTAAAGAAGAGAAAAAACGGTGAGAGTTGAAATCCGTATATACTAGATATCAATATAATACGACTTTGAAAGTAAAACAGTTCCATCCTGATGTAAAATAGCATTAAATATATCTATCACATTAATGTTTGAAGGGTTTTAAGCTAATAAATAACATATTAGTCTCTATGAAACACCAAAACGGAACGTATAATAACCGATTACGTTTTGTAATTTACACATCGTAAGCTGGTTTCTGTTGACTTTTTTACCTTTTTTGTACAGTTTCATTCAAGCAGATACCAGTTTATTTTATAAGCAATGCATTGAAAAGAAACGATAAATTTGTTATGAAGCGTTTAACTTTTAAATTTATCAATATTAATTTGATATTGAATAATAATAACTTATTAATATGGATTAGGTAAAATTATTAGTTTGAAAAGTGATAAGAGCGCCCTCTACAATATCAATTACAAACATGGCGGAACAAAAATAAACCACATCATGAAATTGAATTTTTTCTATTATTTCTTGCTTATTGAACTCTATAGTCCGCACCCCTGCTGGCAGGTCCAATTTTGGAGAATAAAACCGTGGACTATACAAGCCTTTTAACGGTATTCTCTTTTCTTTTCTTTTTCTCCTTTTTTTTTGTAAAGTTTAAATAAAATGACCCTGAACAGTTGGGGCAAGTATGGACACAACATTCAAGCTTGATACAGCTTTGCATTTGGATTGTGATTAAATATTTGACACAGCATAGGTTTCTGACACAGAATGAATGTGGTCTAAGAACTTAAAAATTTTAAATTGGACATTCACCTATTATGGTCCAATATCCAAAATCTAAATACATGGTTAGATTCAGCATATCAAAGAACCCCAAGAATTCAATTTTTGAAGAAATCAAACAAAGTTTAATTTTGGACCCTTTTGACCTCAATGTGGACAAAGTTGATAACGGGGCCCAAAAATCAAAAATCTAAATACATGGTTAGATTCAGCATATCAAAGAACCCCATATATTCAATTTTTGTTGAAATCAAACAAAGTTTAATTTTGGACCCTGATTTGGACCAACTTGAAAACTGGGCCCATAATCAAAAATCTAAATACACGTTTAGATTCAGCATATCAAAGAACCCTAAGAATTCAATTTTTGTTAAAATCAAACTAAGTTTAATTTTGGACCCTTTGGACCTTAATGTAGACCAATTTGAAAACAGAACCAAAAATTAAGAATCTAAATACACGGTTAGATTCGGCATATCAAAGAACCCCAATAATTCAATTTTTGATGAAATCAAAGAAAGTTTAATTTTGGACCCTTTGGACCTCAATGTGGACCAATTTAAAAACGGGGCCCAAAATCCAAAAACTAAATACACGGTTAGATTCAGCATATTAAAGAACCCCAAGAATTCAAGAATAAAACCCCATTGAAATTGGTCAAGAAATAAGCAATTTATACGAAGTATCTTCTTTTGCACAATACTGTGCAATTAAATATTTCTTGCTATTGCGCAATACTGTACAATTGACATTTTCTTGCTATTGCGCAATATTGTGCTATTGGATATTTCTTGCTATTGCGCAATACTGTGCAATTGAAGATTTCTTGCTATTGCACAATACTGTGCAATTGAAGATTTCTTGCTATTGTGCAATACTGTGCAATTGAAAATTTCTTGCTATTGCACAATACTTGTTTGGTGTGTATCTCCTACAATATCATTATTATTTATTTTTAAATATAAATCAGAAATAACCAACTTAAAATGGAAAATTTTAAAAGAAAAAAAAAAGGAAAAAAAGAAACAAAAGGAAAAAAAAAAATCACCCCCCCCCCCCCCCAAATTTTTTGAACCCCCTTATGATTCATCACCCCAAAACTCAATCCCAGCCTTCCCTTTGTGGAATGGTACCTTGCAGTACAATTTCAGAGAGATCCATACACTTGAACACAAGTTATTGTCTGGAAACTAGAAAAATGCTTGTTTTTTGCCCCTTTTTGGCCCCTAATTCCTAAAATATTCAGGCAATTACCCCCATCATCAATCCCAGCCTTCCCATTGTGGTATTGTACCTTGCAGTACAATTTCAGAGAGATCCATACACTTGAACACAAGTTATTGTCTGGAAACTAGAAAAATGCTTATTTTTGGCCCCTTTTTGGCCCCCAATTCCTAAACGTTTCGGCAATTAGCCCCAAAACTCAATTCCAGCTTTCCCTTTGTGATATGGAACCTTGTAGTACAATTTCAGAAAGATCCATACACTTACACACAAGTTATTGTCATGAAACTAGAAAAATGCTTGTTTTTTCCCCTTTTTTGGCCCCTAATTCCTAAAATTTTGAGGCAATTACCCCCAAAATCAATCCCAGCATTCCTTTTGTGATATGGAACCTTGTGGTACAATGTCAGAGAGATCCATACACTAACACACAAGTTATGTCTGGAAGTTACAAAAATGCTTATTTTTGGCCATTTTTGGCCCCTAATTCCTTTACTGTTGGTACCAAAACCCCCAAAATCAATCCCTACCTTCCTTTTGTGGTATTGAACCTTGTGGTAAAATTTCATAGAGATCCATTCACTTAAACTAAAGTTAGAGTGCGAAAACCAATGTGTCTTCGGACGACGCCGGACGACGACGACGACGACGCCAACGTCATACCAATATACGACCACAAAAATTTTTTTGCGGTCGTATAAAAATTCAATCAGGATTTCCATAGATGTAATAAGGTCATTCTGAGTAGAACCTTGATGTCATATGGGGTAAAAGTTCATTAGAGCAATTTGTACCATCTGTAAAGTAAATAAACAGCTTCGCCGAGGGCAGCTGGATATGACCGCAGAGGTCCAACCCTGAACATTTGGGGCAAAAATGGACACAATATTCAAGCTTGATACAGGTCTGAATTTAAATTGTAATTAAATATTTGACATATTATAGGTTTCTGAAACAGAGTAAATGTAGTCAAAGAACTTAAAATTGGTTGTATGATTTGAATTTATACTCAATTGAAGATTTCTTGCTGTTGTGCAATACACTGCTGTTGCGCAATACTTAGTAAATCTGTTTTCAGACTATATACAAACGAATTAGCAAAATAAATTGTGACCCCCAATTTTTTTCTTTGGAATATTGACAATTTCTTAAATCTTGATGAAAAAAAAATTTGAATTGTTTTACATTGTCATTTCAGGGCCTTTTATTGCTGACTGTGCGGTATGGGCTTTGCTCATTGTTGAAGGCCGTACGGTGACCAAGGATCCGGAATTTTTTTCACACAATTTCGGTCATTTTTAGATGATTGAAAAGTTGGTGCCCCTTTTCAAATAATTTTGTCGTCATCAATGTCGATGTCAAACTAGATTCATAGCATCAACGAACTTGAATTGCTGTCATGTGTTTCATCGCATTTACAACAAGTAAATTTCTTACCATTTTTCTAAAAACCTTCAAGAACAGTTTAGGGAATGCAACAGTTTAAAATAGAAATGATTTTAATGACTCAAAATGGTCAATTTCTCAGACATTGCTACCGTTTCTTTCGATTTGACAAAATTAAAACCGGAAGTTAACGATAATATTAAAGTACGGAAATTCCGGATTCATTTCCGGGATTCGTTTTGTTTATCAAATTGACAGGAAATCACCGGCTTTTTAATTTTATTACCTGTAAAAGTGTTTGAATATAACAGTTAATAGTTGCATTCGTTTACTTTAGCATGAAATCAATTTGCATTTTACGATTAAATATTTAATTTGCTGAAGACAACTTCACGCATGCGTATTACATAGTAAATAAAGCACGTGTGTTACTCGTGAAAAAAATACTTTTTTCTACTAATAGATAAAATTAAGGTTTAATTTTAAATCAGAATTGATGATTGTCTTTGCTGAAAAGTAATTAAATAATGAATACACTTGTCAAGGAATTTTAATTTCTTTAAGATATTATTCTGAGCTTGTGGTCAATGTCAGGTGTGAATTAAAAACTCAGGTAAAAAGTAATTAGTGATCATTAGCCAATGTTTCCCGGAGGCATTGATATAGTTACAAATGTATTAGGAGGGCCCTCAGGATTATCAAACTATACTGGAGTGGCAGTTTTATTACAGGAAAGGGATTATAAACAAAAACAAGTGATCACAAGTGCAAAATGGCGATTAAGAAATCTGATTTAAAACATTGAGTCAATGAAATGACCGAAATTATTTCTGTTAAAAAATGTGAAATTTGTCCTAAACCCCAATTACTCATTTAGGACAAATACTTTCAGTTTAGGACATGACTGGCAAATATGACCGTTTCCGGACCCTTGACGGTGACCTATAGTTGTTAATTTCTGTGTCATTTGGTCTCTTGTGGAGAGTTGTCTCATTAGCAATCACATCACATCTTCTTTTTTATACTTAAACACAAGTTATTGTCTTAAAACTAGAAAAATGCTTGTTTTAGACCCTTTTTGGCCCTTAATTCCTGAACGGTTTGGGCAATTACCCCCAAAATGAATCTCAACCCTTCTACTTGTGGTATTGAACCTTGTGGTACAATTTCAGAGCAATCAAAATACTTATACACAAGTCATTGTCCTGAAACTAGAAAAATGCTTGTTTTGGCCCCTTTTTGGACCCTAATTCCTAAACGGTTGGGACCATCACCCCCAAAAACAATCCCAACCTTCTTTTTGTGGTATTGAACCTTTGGTGTAATTTCATAGAGATCCATACACTTCAACTAAAGTTATTGTCCGGAAACCAAATAGACGACAGCGACGACGTGATACCAATATACCAACGCAATAATTTTTTGCGGTCATATAAAAATCTGTTATCTTTTTGAAAAGAATGTTAGTTATGGGATAAACTATTTAAATATATAATATATTATATGTAGATTTGGAGAAATTAGGCTAGAATAGACAGATCAAGCAAAGCAAGTTTAAAAGGGGCTTTACTTAAAATTACACAACAGAAAAAAAAATCGTTTTAAAATTAATCTATTGAAAAATGTGAAAGTGCTTAAGTGAAATAAATGATTATTAGGGGCCTGATGAAATATAAATGCTGTACAATAACCTAGAAAAAAACATTGTTACCATGGTCAATTTCAACCTTTTTTCAAAAACAGTTATGTATGAATCTCTTAAAATTGTCCAGATTTTTTTTTCTAGTGCCATTGATGACTGTGTAAGATTTTGTTAAGGTATCAATGACTCAGATAATAATTGAAGGTACAGAAACTAAGTGTAAATGCATCCAACACAGGAGCATTATATTAAAATGTGTCTTGCCAATAACCCATATTCTTCAATTTTTATATTTTCTACACCATCCTATTACCTTTTCGTCTAACTGTGCATATAATTTCATCCTTTCACCATCCCATTGTGTCTTCTCAGCCTCTGTTATGGTACTAAGATTACCTATACTAGATTCCATGATAGTTGGAGCAACATCTAATCCTTCAGATTCAATAGATGTTATACTGGCCTTCATATCTATTTGTTCCTCTGATGATACAGCCTGACCTAAAATTAAACACAAACACATACTGAAGATATCAATTGTTTCAAGGTTTCAATCTAGGGTAATTCCAGGAAAAAATGTATAAGGGTGTTGGACAAGAATTTTTTTTATACGCCACAATCCACAACTTCTGTTTTAATTTGTTACATCCTCCTGTAAAAAAACTAACACATAGAAAAAATAAATGGGGAATGTGTTCATGGGACACAGATCATGCTCTGCTTGCATGGAACATTATAAAGGGACAAAACTCAAGAATGGTAAAAGTGACACTACCAAAATGCATCTTTATCTGAGTTTTGTGGTAATATGCATTCTGTATAAGTTTCATAACATTTGGTTGATGCAAACTTAAGTTAGAAAACGGAAATGAAAACTTCAGCAATTTTTCCATTTGTAAAGGGACATAACTCTAGAATAGTCAAAGTGACACCACCAGAATTCAAATTTGATCTGTGTATTGTAGTAATAAGCATTGTGTATAAGTTTCATAATGTTTAGTTGGGGCAAACTAAAGTTAGAGAACGAAAACGAAAAATTCAGCAATTTTTCCATTTGTAAAGGGGCATAACTCAAGAATAGTAAAAGTGACACCACCAAAATTCGAACTTGATCTGTGTATTGTAGTAATAAGCATTGTGTACAAGTTTCATAATGTTTAGTTGGGGCAAACTAAAGTTAGAGAATGGAAACCAATTTCAGGACGTACGTACGTACGGACGGACGTACAGAGTGACAAAGGTAAAACTTAATGCCCCCTCCACTACGGCGGGGCATAAATATCCATAGTGTCAAAACCCTCCAAATCAGTTTTTCCTGGAATATCTCTTACAATTAGATAAATTCATTTTCAAATATAAGATGAGTTTTGTTTGAAGATTAACTTCTCTTATTACTTGGTGAAAATGTTGCTCTTTCAAATTAATAACAGGACATCATTGAGACAACATTTGTGCAAATCTTTTCAACAAATAAGTTTGACATTGAAGTGATAGTTCACAAGGTAGATAGAAGCTAGGATTTGCTATTCAAAATATGAATACAAACCACTTCTCCAAGCTTTAAGCTCTGCCTCTAATTTTTGAACCCATGTTTTCAATTTGCCATTCTTTTCTTTCTCTTTTTCATATCTTCTTTTCCATTCATCAGCAGTGAGTTCCTCATTAACCTTAACAGAATTCTTAATGGTCTTTGCTCTACAATAAATGTTTTATGATAATTTCTTATGGAAATTAACTGGCAATATCATGCAAGTTTGAATATACAATTTACTAAAAATATAATCCTTTCATAGACCATGCAAAGTATGTTTACAAGAAACTGTATGTATTTCTATATTTCTACATTATTATATGTTCAATATTTAAATTCTTCCCATTTTCTGCAATATTCTTTGGTACTGAATTCAGTACATTTCTCTTTTCAGATATAAATAAGAGGTGACAAAAAGAAAATACTTTACATATTTCTACAAAAGATCAGTTAAAAATTCATATTGATTTTTTTTTAAATAGTGGTAAAGAAGTGAAACTGGCAATGTTATCTTCAAACTCACCTTTGACCAAACATAAGTGTAGACTTGGTTTCTGATTCATTATAAGAAGCTGGAGAACAACATATAACAATCGTAGTCCTGGCATTACCTCCTAAACTTTCCTGTAGAATTCTTGTCAATTTACTATCTCTGTAAGGAACATGACTTTTCTACAAGAAAAATTAATATGTTTTATTGACCATGCGTGTTCAGAATTGGAGATTCTTCCTGAAAACGAAATACAAATTATTCAATGTACTTGATAAACTGTAAAAAGATTGATTTTAATTAAAGCTTACTTTAATGTGAATCAAAAAGTATATTTATAACTTTTTAGTTTTGCTATGGTATTGTCCATCTGTCTTCACCTCATGATTTTCTATTGACCCCTCAGTACCTTTTTTTTAATTTTTATTTTATACTGTAGATACATTTATTTTAGTGGCTACCAATTTGTGTTGATTAAGAAAAATTAATATTTATGTTGATACTGAATTTTGTGGTATTACTAAAGACTGTATACAAACCTAACGGAGATATGTCCAGAATAAATTTGCTCCAATTACAGTTTTGAAAAGGTATCAATTGTGCCACCCTACTTTTTTGTTGGTATTAATTGTGCCAAATAAAATTTATAAAAATCAAAAGGGAGCAATTCACCAAAGTTTCTTGCAAATTGCTGAAAGAGTTTGTGAGTTATTGTCCGAAAACTGGAAAATCCCCCTTTTTTTTACTCGGAAACGTAAAATCTAAAATTTATAAATAACGAAAGGGAGCTCACGTCAATAGATATTAACAATTCACCAAAGTTTCATGCAAATTGGTTAAAGTGTTTTTGAGTTAATGTCAGACATGTTGACGACGGACGGACGGACGGACAACAGTATGCCATAATACGTCCCTTAAACGGGCGTATAAAAATGGAATCAAATTGCATTGCACCACATTTCCCTGTATATTTTTTTAGTAATAGAATAGTTTTTCACATAAAGATGTCTGATATATTATTCAATAAAATAGTCTGATAGAGGGAAACCTATCATCGTTGTAAAGATCACATACTCCCTCAGGCATTTATTATGAAAAATGGAGAAATAATATGATGTACAGTGAAGCCATGTTCTGTTAGGCTATTTGTAGATGAATCTTGTACAGCTATTTTGAACAGGGAATTAGACCATATGCATGAAAATATTACTCAAAAACTAAAAAGATAGATTTTGAGAACGCCATGCAAATGAATTGTAGCTGATATGCTATCGGGGCGACATTCTAAAATTATTTGGTAGATATATATATATATATATACATAAAAATGAATAAGTTGATAAAATAAGTGCAATTGTATCATTGTTTTATTGGCGCAAATGAAACCTCTAGTATTCAAAATGAAGTAGCACATATAGAAATCAGCTGGAAATATGTACTTCTTTGAACACTTAAATTCGTGGTTCACTTTTATCCACGAAAATTAAGACACCACAAATAATAATGAATCCACAATACATATCACAAAAAACTTACATTGCCATCAGCTAGAGCAGAAATTACATTTCCCAAAGCTGATAATGACTTGTTGATGTTCTTGGCTTCATCTAAAACAGCGCCCTCTGCTCCTGTCTTGCTAACCTAAAATACAACACTTTTGTATCAATACCATGCTATAGAAACATACAGTAATTCAACTGTATACAAAAACCATGTATAAAAGTATAAAAGTATTTAACAAGTGGATGGTGCATAAAATCTTCATTGAACGTTTAAAATAGATATCGGTTAAAAAAAGTATATAATATGGCAGGGCAAGTATTCATTCTACACAGTTATACCTAGTAATATATCTTGATTTTGTGTAGGGATAAATCATATTAACATGATGATTTTTTTTTAATTGACACAAAATTTACTTAAGTGGATAAATAATCCATAAGCCATTTTGACCTTTGGAATATAAGATAAGGACTCATGTGTTATGAGGTAATATTTACCTTTTCACTACCCGCTAAATCGACTAGATATAGTTTGCCATTTAATTTTTTCTCTGTTTCTAAATGTTCCTGTTTTACATTAATAAGAAAGACACTGTGACTTCTGGAACTATGTTCATTCATATCTGTAAAAAAATTCATACACTTTATATTTATGTCTTATATAAAACAATGTAATTAATCAATTATTATTTAACTTCTATACAAACATTTTGTACTGAATTTTGTTTGAAGAAATATTTTTTTGCCCAAATGTACCCTCATAGAAATTTCAAAAATCATTTTGATAAAAGCAATGATATAAGAAAGCAACAGGAATTATTTTCTAAAGAATCCATGAAAGTTTTGTTGAAATCCTTTCATTGGTTTTTGAGGAGAATAAAATCAAGTTTGAAATGGATAGTGAATCCTATGAGTTGATTTGCAGGTGATACAAAATATGGTTGCTTTCTGACATACTACAGATAAATATAATATTCTTACTAGTAACAGCTACATGTCTATTAGATTTTCCTTCTTCTATAGCCTCCATTACTTCTTCTGGACTGGATACAAATCTTTCTGTTGCTCCCTACAAATGCAAATGATTAAAAGTGATTACAGCTTCATATCAAGCAATATAAAAAGAAATGCTGAGAAGTTTATACTGATTCACTCAAGAATGTTTTGAAAAGATTTCATACTAATATAATTTTGTTTTAAGTTTCAATGAAATTCGTGGGAAGGTTGAGGACAAGTTGTGTTTTACACGATGGACAAGATGATTCCTAAAAACCTTCACAAAATTTTTTTCATAATGGTTACATCTAGATTAAAATCATATATCCATCCATTCATGAATAGTGATTATTGGGGAGAGTATAAAACAGTTTTCATGTTATTTTTGTGTGTTATTAGTATTTAATTTTCCTTTATCTTTCTCACTTTGAATGTATTTCTTCTTGAACACTATTATTATTCATTTTTTGGACATCAATTGTCAGCTATAATTCCAAAAGCTTAAGATACATACAAGGTCAGAAACATAATTAACTGGGTAAAGGATTCATTCTTTCAGATATTTTTGAAATGTTTAATATGCAAACTTTCAGAGAAGGAAACTCATTTTCCTACGTACATTGTATACTCAACACTGTCACTGAAAACTAATGTTTGCATCTCAATATGCAGAATTAAAACAATGATATTAAAACATAAACAAGCCACTGGTATCTGGTTAACAACAACATCCATTATTTTTATAAACTTTGTAACTTACCTTGACATATGTCACTTTATTCTTATCTTCATGGACTGACAAGTTTGTCTTTGAAACTGAAACATAGAAAGATTCGTTTCATTTTCTTTCATTAATTTATATATATATATATATATTATGTTTTTATTGTTGTTTTCATATTTATTTGAAAAAGTGCTTATGTTTTAAATGTTTTTACTAATATGATGGATATTTCTGATGATGTTTAACAAAACTAAAAGGCATAACTCTTGAAAGGTTCAGGACAAAACCATCAAAATGAACTTGAATTGTATCATATGGGTCATGAAATTATGATTAAATCTAAAAAGATTTTGTCAAATGGTGCTTTGATACTCAACCAAAAACCAAAATAATTTCATTTCTAATGTAACTAAGTTGACATAACTCTTGAACGATGAATATCAAAATCTTCAAATCGAAATAGAGTTGTATTATATGGTATATGACATTGTGTTCAAATTTTAAAAGATTTGGTCATGTGGTACTTTAGTAATCAATATGAAATCACAATTATTAAAGTCATTAAGGGACATAACTCTAGAACTATGGATGTAAAAGCTATCAAAATCAAACTTGACCCAAGTTAAATGGTACTTAAATAACCATCTGGAAACCAAAGAAATTCCAGTTCTTTAAAGTAACAATAGGGTATAACTTTTGAACAGTGAATATGAAAACCATTAAAACCAAATTTAACCAAGATTTTGTAGTACCAGTATATGACATTTTTGTTTAAATTTCAAAAGAGTTGGTCAAGTGGTACTATAAGTATCATCATCTGGAAACCAAAATTGTGATTGAAGGACAGACAGACAGGTGTGTCACTATCTATTTTCCTTTAAATGAGGCAGCCGGGTTATAATATGGTTTCTGTGCATACAAAATGTGAGTCTGGACAAACCTTCGTCAGGTACACATTTCTGGGATAATAAGGCTGATATCATAAAACCCAACAGACAAACTAGTAAAGATTTGCATTCTTGGTTGATTATTTATTCCAATAAAATTTATCATTTAAATCATGCCAATACTGAACCACTGGCTACAGTATATTTAACTAAATTAAATGGAAATGTTTATTTTCACCAATCCATTAAGACTACTTACTGTCTAACAAATCTCTGATTTTATCCATGTAGATTTCAAAGTAGGACACCTGGAAATTCAAAGTTTAATCAATTCTATAAAATTAAAAATACATAAATTACATAAAAAATGTACACTGTTGAAAATATAAATGAGTACATATTATGTTTAAGCTTTAGAAAAACAAGATGACACCAAGATTTTTAATTTTGTATTGCAAGAAACATCAGAAATATCTAAAATAAATTGTAGCACTGGAATACCATTGATGTACATAAATCATTGTTGGTTTCTGAGAAATAAATTCAGACACAAATTTGGTTAAATGTGCATAAGTTAACTTATATCAGTCTTCACGCTTAACCACGGGCCCAGCAGCCCAGGCTTGTAAAATTGATTTCGGGCCTGTAAAAATCATCTCTACAAGCTGACAGAATCTAGCTAAAATTTTCCAAAAGTTAAGCTCTGGGCCTGTAGATTCAAAGTTTTATCGTGAATATTGTTATATATACTTATAACATGACACAAAAAAAAAAATTACCAGTTCTTTTCCTCTTGATTAATCAACATAAACATATTGTATATCTAATATTCCATTTTTGTAAGTTTTGCTTGTGTAATAGCTATGTCTTAATAATAGCATTGAGTGTGTGATGTTATTATAAATTGACACAAATAAGTCTATTAACTTAAACACCTTGCCATTACCTCTTTCAACCAACATTTGTAAAAATTTCCTAACCTACCTTAATATGAAATTCCAAATTTTCATCCATTTGGTAAATATAGTTAAAGATATCAGCAATAATTCTGGGTATAATACCCTGCATATGACTGTCTCCAAGGACACCCTGTCAATATAAAATAATCATGGTAACATCAAAAATATTTTTTTAACTGCTATATAATTCTCAAATCAAGCTTTTTTCTAAAATGAAAATCAAATTCTCACAAGATAAAATAAATGGGGAATGTGTCCATTGGACACAGATGATGCTCCTGCTTGCATATAACGTTATAAAGTGACATAACTGAAGAATGATAAAAGTGACCCTATCCAAATTCGTACTTAATCTGAGTTTTGTGGTAATAAGCATTGTGTACAAGTTTCATAACATTTGGTTGAGGCAAACTTAAGTTAGAGAACAAAAACGAAAAATTCAGCAATTTTCCATGTGAAAAGGGGTATAACTCTAGAACGATAAAAGTGACGCCACCAAAATTCAAACTTGATCTGTGTTTTGTGGTAATAAGCATTGTGTATAAGTTTCATAACATTTGGTTGAGGCAAACTAAAGTTACAGCGGAGGCATAAAAATTATATGTCCTGTTTCTGGTAACCAGATTGAACTATTCTCTAACCAAAACTTGATTTGCTCAATTGTCATAAGTCATGATTAAAATTTCAGCACATTTCAGACTTTTCAAAATCAGAACCATTATTGATGACCCCCAAGGGTGACTGGGGAATAGAGATATGGTCACCATTGGTCTTCCTCCGACCGGCAGTCAAACCCTTGTCAAAGTGGGGCATTCATGTGGCTGTGTGGCATGTACAAGTTCGCAGCCAAGTCAGGTCAGAATGGGGAGGTTAAATCTGATGCCTTTTGTAGGGTGAGTGCCACGCTCTTTGCACGTTAAGAACCCTTACAACAACTCTTTGAGGGGTCAGTAGGTGGCCTGTTGCAAGGCTAAATTTCTGTCCCTATCCAATACACCCTCATTTTCCCGTGGCATTGTATTTATTGTAATGGGTAAAGTGAACCAACACCCTGAAGTGGTCGACGTGTGGTAGCGGTAAAGTAAGGGTGGATACCTAGTGGTATTCAATAGTTGTCTCTCTACAGGTACATAAAATTGTAGAAAATAAAGGCGTTGATGTCTTTATTTTCTATAATTTTATTTTATCTATTGTTAATTTGTTCTCGTCCTGAACATGCATGAAATATTTGCCACTGGACATTAAGTAACCAACAATCAATCAATCATTATTGAGAAAAATTTTTTTTCCCCTTCTGTACATTATGGCAGCACAGAATTGCTGTGTTAGGCAAGGTCATAGAATAACAATTAAAAAGCAACTATCTCAGCAAAGTCCTGCTGAAAACAACCTGAATAAATACATATGAAGTCAATCATTTCAGAATTATTTATTTAAATTCTTTTTTATCTTGTATTTATTGTTACAATGGCAATTCTGCATAATTCTGTAAGATTCCCCATCTTTTGTTCAATAATAGAAAAACGATCAGACTGGTGTTCTAGCTCTTTATTTTACTTTTAATTGCCAAAGCAATACCAGCTACAATTTAGGAACAAAAGATTGCTTTTTGGTGCTTAACCTTAAAATGGAGCTTTATTAGATTCTTTTTTAAATTTCACTGCATGCCAAGTAATAACACGCGCTCTTTTAGTTAAGTGTGGTAAAAAAAAACCAAAAATATGAATTAAAAAAGATATGGAATAAACATGGATTACACTCAAGAAATCAGCATGTTTACCAAAACTAGTGGTTACCATGTGTCAGTTAAAGATACAAATGTACTAGTGAAAATGTCAGTTTAAGATACAAATGTACTAGTGGTGAAAATGTCAGTTTAAGATACAAATGTACTAGTGAAAATATCAGTTTAAGATACAAATGTTCTAGTGAAAATGCTTATTTAAAAAAGAACATTGTCAAACTTGTATCAAGCTGGGCCAATATGTTTATTTCATTGATCCTACCTCCATAGTGTGAGTTTTACCACTAGATGTTTGTCCATAGGCAAATATTGTTCCATTGTATCCTGCCAATACATCTAAAAAAGAAATTGGTTGTATAAAATATACTGAACAGAATAATCAACAATGAGCAGATATTTCCTCTAGTTACAGCACTCAAGGGCTTTTCTTAACATATTATACAGAAAGGTTTTTATGTATTTACCTTCGACCTCTGTCCTCAATTCAAAGAACAAACTGTTATCAGTTTTATATTCTAATAAATCAGTTCAATGTATTTCATAGACTTTTATCAACATGGCAACATCATTTTAATTTTTAAACATTTTTAGTTATCTCCCTTAAGCTTGTAATACTTTGATGTGAAGAATTTAATTCAATATCCAATCCCCAATCAAGGTTGTACTTTATACTGCACAGTGCAGTTCTACAACAATATTGTAAATTTCTTACAAATCATTCAATCATTAAAGATATCGATGGACATTTGTGGATTTTTTTTTATATTTCACTTTTCTGTCAATTTGTTTATGAAAAACTACTTTTTAGCAAAAACTGCATTTTCGAGGATGTGTAAAAAAGATTAAGTTTGGGAAGATTTCATATATTTGGAGAAGAACAAGAATTAACATTTTCCTGGTGAAACATGTCAATAAAGAAAACAAATGCCATACCACTCAATGTGAATAAATATAATGCTATGGCAATAATGTTATCTTTCAATAAACTGTTGACACAGAGATAAGTCTCGCCTGTCTGCACAAAATTCGAAAAAAAGACAATCTGATGGACAGCAACATTACCAATTAATTCAAAGTCACTGAACAAATACCTTGGGGACAAGGCCAAGATTTATTCCATGAGCTGATATGGACTGATAGTAAACTTAAAGAAATTATCATTAACCTATCAAACTAACTTAAGCAGAAAACTTAACATTGAAAATTGATAATTAATTCAGTCACCGGACCATGACCTAGGGGACAGGGCCTGGGAATAGTTGTCAAACTGATATCTACTAATAGTAATGTAACTTTACAGAAAAAGTCATTGATCTATCACAAGTAGTTCCTATCAAACTGACTTAAGAAGAAAACTTAACAATTGTTGAAGCCCCCACCGGAAAAGCAACACCTATGTCCTGCCTTTCCAGACAAAAAAAAATATCTAGAGTTGAACTTCCCTAAAATTTTGTATGTATATATAACAGAGCTAAATTTAAGGTATCCAGCTTTAGAGTCACCTGTATTAAGCGAGAACATGTCTTGACAGGTCACCTGTATTTTAGGGAACCTCTTGTCAGGTCACCTGTATTTTTGGAACTATTAATTATATTTGTTTATAACTTGAAAATAAATATACATTGTATTGCATCATATCTAATTTTAGAAAACTATTAATCACATCTAATGTAAGAGTGTTTTCCACACTTTTTTTCATCATGCTTGAAGATATTGATTTATAATTGGTATATAGTTTTAGCATGACAAGTTACAGATCAAGTTCAAATTTTTGTTTCTGTCTGATTATTTTGTGCAGAGTTAAGGTCCTTGGACTTGAAAAATTCACTCATATAATCAATTTTCCACACAGTGTTTAATCATGCTTGAAGATATTGAATTGATATTTTCTTTTTGTTTACACCATGACAAGTTATAGAACAAGTTAGCATTTTGTTCCAGTATAATGAATTTTTACCCGGTAGGGGACTATGTATTGCCATGCAATACTCTCAGAATGCTTGTTTTTTTAGGATTTTGTCTAATTAATTTATAGCAAACATCTGAATGTAGAATGTTTATATAAATCATCTGACCTCAATGAGTGGTCTCTTCCCTACAACCCCCTCTCTCTTTCAGGGTTCGTACTAGGATGATATTTAGCCCACAGTTAATAAAGCAATCAAGATTGTTTTTATGTTAACCTTAATTATCATAAATTAATAAACAATTGGCAGAAGGGTAAACATATGTTATTATTGGTATGTATACAATGTATGAAAGGACTTATGACAAAACATCTGGCAGCTGTGTAATTCAAATCTGATCTGGAATGTATATTATCTACATTGCACAAAATACACATTATTGTCTAATCACCTTTCTGGTTTTAATAACATAAGAAAACATTAAACTGTACTTAAAAAAAATTCAAATAATTTTTACACATAAAGATTTCCATTTTCATTTATATTTTGTACAATTTTCCACAATCATTTATAATCATTTACACTATTCTGCATTATCATGCTTTGCCATAAAATAAATCATTGCAATTTATCCTTCTGCATTTACTTTAATATCTCAGTGTAAATTATTAGATACACCCAATCATTCTAACACCCTCATGGATGTGTATTATATAATACATGTGATGAGAAGACAGCAAAATAAAATATTTACAGATGTTTAAAGGGGTTAGATGTGAAATAAAGTAGAAGAACCCCTCTGCCCACTATCTTGAAATGAATTTACTGTCAAGATTCTTGTTACTTCACTTATCAGTTATGTAAAAATAGTGAAATAGTTTGGTTACTATCCAAATCATCACACCCAAATATTGTTTTATAAGTAAAGACATAAAACCAGTATTTTATGGTTGTGCATCAGATCTTTATCTTCAATAGCAGGGACAAAATCAATTTCAATAAAAGATCATATTATAAATAACTATCACTGAAAGTCAGTAATATCTTTAATGGAAACATGTTCTCATGCCAAAAGTAACACCCTATCTGCTATTGTTTTGTATTCATTGATAGCTCATCAGTGAGGTTTAAGACAGGATACATTATAAGTAATTCTATCTGAAATCTAACCTTACCATTTTTCTGTGGTTTTATAGAGATTTTTTTCTTAAGTTGAATAAAATCACATTTAAAAGGACTGGTCTTTTTTGATTAAAATAAAACATAAACCCTAAAGAAGTCCTATCTAATTGAAAGGCAGGGATGAATGAAATCATTTAACAACACTTATTGTTTTACGAGGGCAATATTTCATATTGTAGACAATATAAAGCAGATTAAGATATCTCTTTTATTACGCCTAAGAAGATGTTTGGTGTCATAAGTTGGCAAAAATAAAAAGCTATTTTATATAAAGAAGAATATTTTCCATACTTCCCAACCTTAAGTCTTGCCAGAAATTCCTGGCAAAGTAAGAGATTGTGCAATAGCTAAACCAAGAGACTTTACACTTTTTTCTTTCAATTCAAAAAGGAAAAGGATAATCAAAATAAAATTTTGTTGCTATCTACCTGTATGTTAAAATCAATTATAAAGTGAAAAATTAAATATAGTTTTTATTCAAATTTTCAGAATAATTAATATTCAGTGTTCAAATTCCTTAGCATTTGAGTTAAGATATATATACAGAAGGCTTGTCAAAATTGTGACAATGTTACATAATTGTACTATAGACTTCTTAGAAAATTCAGACATTACCAAATCCTCTCAAAACCCTAATAAGACACTCAAACTTAAATGTACTGGGATTAACCTTGACTAGAAACATTCCTCACATCATTAAGTAACATCCTGCACATGACTCAGGTATTGATCTAACAAATCAATTAATCAGCTGATTCTATGAAATATCTTTTCATAGCTAATATTAAACTTACTTTCACCAATTACATTTCAAAATCAATATCATAAAAGTTTTTATGGGAAATAAGAAGACAATAACAGAACAATCAAATATTATATATTGACAACACCATGTCCAAAAATAAAACAATAGACAAGTTTGGGGTTCTTTTTTATAAATGAGTTATTGCTGGTGGATCGGAGGTTATTCTGCATAAATTATGTCAATATACAATCAGCTCTTACTACATGATGTAATAACATAAGCATTGTGACATTATAAATTCATGGGAAAATGCATGAATATAAAAGTTGTCTAAAGTCCAAAGAACATTGCAAACAAGCAAAACATACTAAGCAACATACAACCAACTAAAGCTAACTGGGGTAATCGCATGTGCAAGGACAAAAAAAATGTGTTCATGATATCTAAAACCTTAAGATGGATCTTTTTTATATATTTGATATCTAAATATTTAAATCAAATATGATTTGAGGTTTATGACCAAGAATGACATTTTACATTGTGTTTTACAAATTAAATTATGAGTGACCATTTCCATATAGAACTGCATCACAATATTTCCATTCTGAATGCTAAAATCCTACTTTAATATATCATAACACAAAATATTTGAATTTCAAAAGGAACAAAGACCTGTCATTTTAGTAGAATTGTTTGATGTCACTGCTTTAAATGCTACCAAAGAGAGGCGGAGGATAACAAAGGGACATTCAAACTCAAAATTTGAAGACAAACTGACAACAATATTAACATTAAACACTTTGCTTTTAATCATGTATGTAGGAGTCAATTGTTGTGAAAGATGTTAACACCAAAATGTTCTACAAACAACAATCATACTTTGCTTAAGGATACATATACATGAACGAACTGTCCTATTTTAGTGTTTCCTACAGGAGGTTTTGGCGTAGTATAAGGTATGAGATACAGCTGTGTGGGCAAATAATAATGCTTCCAAAATGAACATGTTGTTTTTCACAATTTCGATGATAAGCATCCAAAATTCACAGAAAATTCATCATGTCATCAAAGGCAATTACTCCTATGTAAGGAGTCATCTGATAATTTATGTGGAAATGGCAACAAGGTAGATAGATCTTCACTGTCTAGCATTTTTTTTCCCTGTTTGATTTTCTCTTTCTATTATGGTTTCAAGAAATTATTAAACTAACACATTTCACCCTTATGTTCTATTTTTAGCCATGGTAGCCATGTTGGTTGATTCTTTTTTGAGAAGATTTGATAGCTACGATAATAAAATAATGTTTGAAAAAAAATTGTTTCTAGTAAATTCTAAGGACAGGATTATAGCTACTTTCTCCTTTGCCTTAACATGGTTTTTATGATGACATAAATTGCCTCAAAGGAAAAATATGATATGAAAAATCAAATGACTGTTTGGATCATAATATACATTTAAGGGCATCATATCAGACATCCATAAATCAATACTGTCTGCTGCAGCAATTTTATTGATTGTCAAGTTGGTGAATGTAAATTAGTTCAAAGTAAACCTTATCTGTTGAAATTAAAGTGCTACATAGGGTAATTTAAACATTTGTTAATTGATTTGACATGATTAGTGATTACAGGACATTTTTCGCCCAACTGACATATGTAAGCATATTTGATGAACTCAATTTTGAAATAATTGCAACATACTGATTCTTTCCACAACTGCATGTACAATATATTTCTAATCTACAAGTGCTGTTTTCATAAAAGCACGTTCCTCTCTAAATATGAATTAAATCCAAATCACATTTAAGACTTGTAAATAAGGTATATTTAGCCTATTAAAAGTATTTGTACCTGTATTTTTTGGGAATAGTAAAATTATATAGAGCAAGTGCAGTACTTACCTGCGACAATTGTTTTAGCAGTTGTATTATAAACATCTTCCTGTGTAACATTTGGTTTCAGTATTTTGTCAAAAATAAACAACTTTCCCTGAAAAAGAAAGGTATACTTTTTCAATGAACTACATGTACATTTGTATTTCAAATAATTATAATTATATACAACAGATAGTACGAATGAAATTCTGGATTATTCTATAATATGTTATGTTATCAACAGCCACAATTGACTACAAGCAACACAAAGCAACCGACAACTATGTAGTTATCGTAGAGCTACATTAACTTCCTAACAGTAGCAAAGACAATTCAGATTAGTCGGGACCTGTCTCTTATTTCAAGATTCCTAAATGTTATTGCTTTTGTGCCAGTATTCTACAGTTTTTTTTTTTTTTGTGTTTTACCTGTATATGATTTGATAGATATGAATCAGACAGGGTCAAGGGTCCAGGATGGCATATCTGTCAGACAAGTCCTATTCTTAAAGGATCAACAATGACAAAAAATTGTACATGTTTTTAGGATTTACAATGTAGGTCATGAAAAAAATTGTAATCAAATGATTCAATTGCCATTTTGCATTAATTTTCGTTTAAAATGTGTTTCAGTAAAATAATTGTCACTAGGCATTGTATGAAAATTCAAAGGGCCCCCAAATTACTGCTTTAATTCCCCAAGAAATATTGAATGATGGCTAATCACTTTAAAACTGTGTTCATACATTTGTCTCTGACAGGAGAATGTATTGATCAAGTTCAGATGTGTTATTGCATTATTGAGCAAAGGATATCAACAACTCTGATTTAAAAATTAAACCTTGATTCAACATGTTGAATGCATAACAGAAAAATTTTCGTTCACGAGTTAAACATGAATTTCATTTACTTTCATAATGAAACATGCATTCATGCAAGTGGCCTAACAAGATTTAGATGTTTAAACATCAACAGTAGTTTCTTGCAAAATAAAGGAGTGAAACTATAATCAGTCATATTAAAACACCTTTAGGGGAAATGTATGTAAAATATGGTGATTTCCTGTCATTTAATAAACAGAACAAAACCTGTTGATGAAGTTTGCTTCATTTGTTATTATGATTAACTTAAAACTTCCAGTTTTTATTTTGGTTATCAAAATCAAAAAGTGAGGTTGATTCCTGAGGAATTTACTTTTAAAAGGCATTAAAATCATTTCAATTTTAAATTCTTGCATTCCATAAATTATTCTGAAACATTTTTACAAAAAAGGTAGAAAACTTCATGTAGTTCAATGCAGTTCATGCTGTAAAACTGTCCTTACAAAAAGTATAATACAAAAACAAGGAGATGTGAAATGTTTGTTTATGCCATGACTTCTCATTTGAATTTGACAGTTTGAATGTTATGACCAACTTTCAGGTCATCCTAACTTTTAGAGTACATTTTAACAAATTTTAATTCAAGTATTTAATGAAAATATAGTATTTACATTAAATGATACATGTACATGTATAATTTGGTTTTGATGTAACTCTGAAAACACTAGGAGTCTTAGATTGTGATTCTACCATCACACAATAAGTCTGAAATTAAAAGTGGGTCACTAGGGAACGCAAGTTAGTTCACTAATGTTGCAAAAAGTGATTTGCATTATATCTGATAACAACCTTTATGAGTAAAAATGTCATATTTCTCAAAATTATAGACTTTATTATCTATAAAAGCAGTAGAACTCCAAATAAAATATAGTTGTCAGGTACAAATGTAATAAATATTAGTTTTCCAGTTCATATTGATAATTGAGTTTTAGGAAGTTTTCAAGAAATTGCTGTACTGCACAAAAGGGGGATACAAATGTATGTATTTACAATTGTAAGCAAACTTGTCTGCTATTACTTAAATTCACACAAGTTCCCGAAAAATTTGACTTCAAAATTTAAAAAAATTGACCTCATAATTAAAAATTGATTGTTGCTTGATGTCAAAAGGTTATTCGCAGACAGATCTAAGGTCATTCAGGGACAAAATTCAGCTAAATACCAAAAGTGTAAATACGCTTATTGAAACTGTTGTTTTTCAAGCAACAACTTTTTCAAGCCCATTGCCAGCAGTTCCTAATCACATTTGTGGACAGCACTGTATGGTTTTATTGATTAAAGTTGAAGCAATATAATTTTAAGAAAAAATTATATATTTATTGTTTGTATAAATCACTTACATTTATATTTATAGAGTCATCGGTTGGAAACTTCAATATAAACTTGCTGCCAGCTTTTTCTTCTGAGGAATTTAATGGTCGAACCCTGCTTATTACTTTGATGCTGCATTCATCAGGAGGAGGCCCTGGTGGAGCAGGTGACTGTGTCGACATTATTTACGGTACAGTTTTCAATTTGTAAACATCAAATGCTTATAATGTAATGTATGTGAATCACACCATCATGAATTTATCATGAGCTGAATTAAACGGAAAATTAGACAGTGAATATGCAATATGAAAGAGTTACGAGAAAGATATCTTAAGCGATTTGGATATATCAATGAATTACTAAGCAGAAATTAGAGCAGAATGTAGTAGGATGACACGGCGATCGCCTTGAACACAATATTTTTATAACGTCCGAACAAAATCTCCTCCTTCTTCCATCATTGCTATTGAATGATGGGAAATGACGTTTGCGAGCTATCGAACTCCTCTAACCGTTTCTTTGGTTGCATTTAAAAGCTCGATACTAACCGAAAAGGTATTTCCCGCGGAATATCTCTTAACCTCGAAAAGTTTTTATATAAATAATGAATATACGAGAGTTAATATTTAGTGTTAAGAATGTTCGTTCGGCTCTAATTTTAACTATTTATTTACATTTTGTGTCTAAGACGTCAAAATTCAACGAAAAAAAAAGAAAAGTCAAGGGCCTTAAATGCATTCGAAATACACATTTACAAACTGAGAGTTTGCCAATTTTGAATTCCCGTTTTATACTTTTCTTTAATACGAGTGACGTATATACGACATATACATGCCTCTGATTGCATGTATTATATGTCTCTGATGAAAGACAAAATAATACATGTGGACAAAAAACAAAAGACAAAATAATACATATTCTTGGAATCAGATTGTTAAACTTATCGATTATTCAAATTAAACTTTAATTTTGAACCATACTTATTGAAATTATCATACCATCAAAGATGTATTTTAACAAGATTGTCGGAGAATTTGAGCTCATAAACTAAGTAGAAAAGGTCGTTACTTTGATATTAAACTAGAAAATGGAATATACACACTCTGTAATGAGGAAATAGAAGATGAAATGCATTTTTGTTTAACCTGTAATGCTTTGTTAAATGTAAGAAGTCCCTTTTTGGCAAAATATTTAATGAAAATAAAAATATTTCAAATACCAATTAAAAAGAAATGCAAATCTATTTCTATTTTTATTTGAATTTCTTTTTCATTGGTATTGTCAGAGTATTATATGTCTCTGCTGCGAATGGTCAATATATCATGTCCAAGCTAGGTCTCTGCTATAGTGAAAGGGCAAAACCTTTAAGACAAGCACAGTAACTAATCAATTATAAATCAGTCCGTTGGTTTTCTGTTTGACTTAATTGTTTCATATTTTGTCTTGCCTAACTAGGAAACTTTTATAGCTGACTATATGGTATGTACATGTGTTATGCTCATTGACGGAGGTCGTACAGTGACCTATAGTTACTCAAGTTACATCTACGTCATTTGGACCCTAGTGAATAACAATCTTATTGGCTATAATACCTCATCTCCCTTTTTATACAGATATTAATCGTTTCGTTTAATAGATTTTCCGGAAACTAACATTAAATTTATCATGCAAAAAAATAATAAATGGGTTGATCCATGACTTCATTGCATAGTGAATTTTACGCTCACCGTGAATTAAAGATATGATCTGGACCGAACTTGGCCACAATCAGTATACAATCATCTTAATGGTATCTAGTTTTAAAATTGATCTCGCCTTTTCCCGCCAGGTAAAACAAAAATGTTTCCATGTTGGCATAGAATATATAGATCAAATCTTATTTTTTGCGTTTATTTTAAAAATAACAACAGAATGAGAGAAATCCGTCACATAAAAAAGATAAACATGCACGTGATGATCTACCATTCTTATATACATTTCAAAACCTCAAATCAACTTTTTACAGGATTTATTGTCCTTTAAAAACTATTTAACCCAATTTGTGTCAGTTCCGATATTATATAGTATCTATACAAGACAGAGAAAATGTAAACACCAAAATCAGCACCACAAAATCTAAAATTAGCTCAAAATGCCCGAAATCGTCAATCTTTTCGTTATAGGAATTCAAGTATCTCGATCCAAAACACAATTTGCTCTCAGTTTTGCCGTATGTGGTTTTTATGTGAAAACTTAATTAGATGGTGAGAAACTATTCGCAGCTAAATTATCAGCAAACCAGGATCTACAAGAGGCCACTATTTCACAACAATAATGTGTGCAATAGTAATCTCGGGATCTGCAAATCAGTCAATGTACTCCTTTATGAGAGTTATTGCCCTGAAATAACAATTTTAGCCATATTTTTTTGCTTTTACCTTCAATCTAGTTTAAATATATATATAGATTTGTGTTAGACGAGTAAGCGAGTACGATAGACTTGAATTTGTGTTGGTGATTATCTTGAAATATAAAGTTCCCTTTATTCTTTTCAATTTGGATATCGCTAAATTCCTTTTTTTTTCTGTTTTATAGATTGGCGATGAACAAAAGTCATATCTATGGCTTTTTCCCTTTGGCCCGGATAGTTTATGGAATTAGGTGTAAATAGCAGATATTGGTATAGTTTGAAACTTTCAACGGTATTTCTCATTCTTATCTTAACGACAAATCGAAAAAATTAGTCCAACTTTGGTTAAAAAAAATGTCAAACGCACACTCAAATGGACTGTTTTATTTGGAAGGGACAAGTCATACTTTATAAAAACACTATAAATCAAACAAGATCACGGCTATGTTCAACTTGTTGTTGTCACAGTTCCGTCCGGCTCTTTCTTCGATTATATCTTATCATAGAATTTGTACTTGCCATTAGCAACACGACAGGTGTCCTTAATGCAACAAAATGATCTGATTACCCTTCCAGAGCGCATGAGTTCACCCCGGCCTGTTTTAGCTGTGGTTTGCGTTGCTTAATCTTACGGTCTTCTGTGTGGTGTTTTATTTTCTATTATTTGTCATCGTTTTTATCTTTTTGGTCATGTTATTGTTGTATGTATTTCTACGACTTATGGTTTTTTTAATTGCCCTATTTCTATGTAAGTGAATACTCCCCGTTTTTGGACACCGTATGTTGACCCGTATAGATGTCAGTTGTTTGTTTACTTTTTTAGTCGTTTGTCTAACTCTTCTTCCAAGCAAGGACCCAACTTCAGTATTGAATGTATATGGTCCCGCAAAAACTTTGCGCAGTGTTGGAAAACACAGCTATAGTCTTCTCAAAGTTATTTACAATTACAATTGTCAGATTTTGTATTTATTTAGATCTAAGTTATTGTGTATTTGGGTTGTTATTTCGTTTATACGTATACTCCTTATTGTTTATATTGAATCACAATAGCGGAATGACATTTGAAAAATTTAACGGGGAAAATGATAGAAAAAGTACAAATATTTTTATTATATAATATGTGGATACTTAAACCTCTTATGGTATAAAACATATCTGAAATTAGTATGGAAATACCTTCCATATGTGGCCAGAACTATGACGTCTCATTTTTACTCATTTAGGAATTATATTTATGCTTTTTAGTTTTGTTAGTATTTTTTTAATCATATTTCAGTGGTTGCTAGTATCCCCAGCCAAGCAGTGCACGCGTAGAGGTGTTGACCAGAAACCTTTTCAGTAAAGAAGTGATATATGACTTCATATATTTGCATGAAGCTGCATGATTTCTGTATATGATATAGTTGGTTAAAGAGCACTACATCCACTTTATTTGAACTTTGGTGGATAGTTGTCTCATTGGCAATCATACCTCATCTCCTTATTTTTGCGTCAAAGCTCATGTCTTGCTGTTATTTTGTACATCTGGGACATAATATACTGGGTTTTTTAACAAGCAGGTGGGAACAGACATTACAAATGCATGCTAGTAGCAAATTATGCTCTTATGTACTTTATAAAAATAACTTTGTCAGTAATAATACTTATCTGTTATCCGCAGTGTTGATATTATTGAAAAAATATGACAAGGTTGCGTGTGTTAGCACAAACCCCCGGACTTAAGATTGAAAAGGGGAGATATCAGGTTATTTCTGGATAGAGCTTAAATTGTCCTATATGCTCAAGCTCTGCATGAGGTTGAAGATGGATTACATTTTCTTCTTAATTGCAATTCACTAAATAATGAGAGACGCAAACTACTACTTTGTGCTAGGAAGTATTGTGCTTACTTTGATATGTTGACTACTAAGGATCAGTTAACTTGGTTAATAAGTAATGAAAACAATGATATCTCGTACGAAATGTGTGCTTTCATAAAAAATAAAGAAAACTACTTATGCTTTCTACCTTTGTCTGTAATTTTGTTTTTGTGAATTTTGTTCTCTCAGAGTATTGGGACAAGTTGTGCTAGAGGCTGCATCAAAATCCCAATAATGTTTGCACTTAATCTTTACATTTCATATTACAATGTCTTTTGAGCACCTGCCCTTGGTGACTCCTCCGTTTGAATAACTGCTTAATATTCTTGTCCATGTGCATCAGCAAGGAGGAGGACTAGATAATAATTTTTTGAACATTAGTTTTTAGATGTATTGTATTAAGTGCTTAAATATTCATATCGGTTTATTTTGCTTGAGTGCCCTGTATGCACCTACCCTTAGTGACTCCTGCATTTGGACAACTATAATATTTGTTCATATGCATCGGCCACGAGGAGGGCTTAACTTACAAAGGCTTATTTCATTATGGATATGGTGCTGTTTCTGGTGCATGGTAAAAAAACACTCGGAACATTATGGTTGATATGGTTATAGAACATATTTTATTACCAATTAAGGCCGGTCCACAAGGGGCATATAGAAAATACATGTATAAGGAAAAAGAACATTGATTAGCATACATAGAATTTAAATACACAATCACAATACAATTAGACTGTAATAAAGTCTTTGTTTATAGTATATAATATAGTTATATGAAAAATAAATAGATCTAAGTCATATATTGACTTTAATAAATTTTCCAACAGCATTAAGGACCTGATTGTCTTCACAGCTTAATAAAAAAATGAATTTTTGCTGATTGTCCAGTAAAGAAAAGTTTGGAATTTTTTGGCAAACAAAGTCAAAGAGAGCATCTCTATCAGAGTTAAATTTTTCACATGAAGTTAAAAAATGGATTTCATCGTCATCACAACCAGAGGAGCATTTTTTGCAAATTCTTTCATTTCGTGGAATATTTGAAAAACGGCCAAATTCAATTTGAAGCTTCTGAGCAGAAATACGTAATTTGCAAATAGCTCTTCTAAAATCAAAGTTCTTAACCAAAGAGAGATAATTTTCATAACCAAAATTTTGTTTAAATTTCAAAAAATTGAACAATTTTCCATCAGAACCCTTTTTTTGCTAAAATACCA